ATCTGCTATCGGGATGACGGAAATGACCTACTGCGGAACTGGTGTGGCGATGTATCTTAACTTTCTGGCATTTTATGCACGCTTGCGTCCAGTTACGAATATCCCGGTTCATGCTTGGCCGTACGAAACGCTCGCTGATTAGTTTGATGGTGGCCTTTATTCCAGGATGCGAAATATTATGCATAGCTTCGAAAATGTCTCGTCTTAGTGGCTTTGGAATAAACGGTTTTGGTTGGCCAGTAGAAATATCGCACATGATGCTTACTTTTTCCAATGGAGTTTCTTCGAGTACTAACGAGGTTGTATTGGCAGACTTTAATCTGTTTAACTCAACATCGATATCTTGCAATGCTGCTAATTTGTGATAATCGATTTCGGATTGGATGAGAGCGTTTATCATCGTTCTGGATAACGCGTCTGCCACTTCGTTATTATTTCCTTTGATATACTGTATGATAGACGTAAATTGGGAAATAAATTCTAATTGTCGAATTTCTCTCGGCGAGTAGTTATCCTGTTTGGCGTTTAATGCTTTTGTGAGGGGTTTATGATCCGTATATACTGTGAAAATGGTACCCTCAATCATATGTCGGAAATGTTTTATTGCTAAATAAATCGCTAATAATTCTCTTCCAAATGTACTATATCTCGTTTGGGTAGGATTTAATCTTTTCGAGAAAAATGAAAGTGGTTCCCATGCACCGTTTACTAACTGCTGCAAAACGGCTCCTACTGCTAAGTTCGATGCGTCTGTCATGACGGCTAATGGTGCTTCGTTCTTTCGTCGTACTAACATCATCTTCTCGTTTAGCGCTCGCTTAGCGTTCTCAAAAGCCTGTATAGCATCCACTGAAAGACGGAATGTTTGAGTATGTCCTCGCAAGGCGTCCGTCAATGGCTGTAATATTGATGCGCAGTTTGGGATAAATCGTCTATAATAGTTTATTAGCCCCAAGAATCGTCGTAATTTTCTTTGTGAATCGGGCAACGGATAATTACTATTAGCAGCAACTTCTGTCGGAACTGGCATGATACCATGTGAATTTATCACATGACCTAGAAATTTCAATGATTCCTTTCCAAATTCACACTTTTCCACGTTAATAGTGACGACATGTTCTTGAAGTTTCGTAAACAACTGTCGTAGATGTTGTAAATGTTCTTCCCTGGTAGCGCTAGCTACTAGTATATCATCGATATATGCGTGAACTCCTGTCAAACCCCTGACGACTTGATCGATGAATCTTTGAAAGGTTTGGGCTGCATTAGTTAATCTGAAGGGCATTCGCTAAAACTCGAATAACCCAAATGGAGTAGTAATAGCTGTTTTAGATATATCTTCTGCCGCTACGGGAATATGGTAATAAGCTCGAACGAGATCGATTTTTGAAAATATCGTAGCACCTTCCATATTGGTAGTAATGTCGTGGATATGTGGTATCGGATATCTGTATGCTATCGTTTGCTTGTTAAGAGCTCTATAGTCTCCGCATGGCCTGATTTCCCCATTCTTCTTCGAAACTATATGCAATGGGGACGCCCAGGGACTGTTAGAAGGTCTTATGATACGAAGCTTCACCAACTTTTCGAACTCTCGTTTCGTGATATTCAACCTTTTCGGGTCTAGCCTTCGTGGTCTTGCGTTAGTCGGTGGACCTTTCGTTATAATATGGTGCTGTACCATATGTTTAAGATCTCTGTTACCGTATGATAACTTCGTCAGATCGGCGTACTCGTTTAGAAGCGATCTATATGGCTCGCTTTTGTCTTTTGACACTACTAAATTCATGGATGCGTGATCAGTCGTCACTCCTCTTATCACTACTGAATGGTCGCCGTTCACGAGCCGGTTTTTCGGGTATCCACTAGTAAGTCGAAATTCTTTAGGAAATCAATACCAATTATAGGTAGGGATACATCTGCGATAATGAATTCCCAGCGGAATGAGGTAGTACAACCAAAATTCAAGGTTACTTTTCACTTGCCATATGTTTTCATATCGGATTTATTTGCTGCCTTAAGCGTTAGCGCTATATCGATATTTCGTGTTTCGTTACTCACAGGAGGCACGACGCTTACTTCTGCTCCCGTATCCACTAAGAATTGAGCGCCTGTTACTCTGTCTTGAACGTAAAATAAACGACTGTTTCTAGGAGCTGTTGTAGTTGTTGCGGCGGTTATCGACAATCGGTGTGGTCGTTTGAATTTACATGGTGGTTTACAGTTTCGAGCTTTATCGCCGAAAGTTTGATGGTACTAACATATTGTAGGAGCTGAGCGTCTCCTAGAACGTGATCGACTTCTTTCTCTCGATCTACTTCGTGACCATCCTCTTTGCGTATCGCTCTGATTTAGCTTCGTCAGCTTGTGGCATAAAACATTAATCTCCTTTTATAATGCATCGATTCGTTCATCTACTGTGGTACTATGTCTTTGCGGACTCGTTTGCTTCATTCTCTCATAAATTCTATCGGCTATTTTAGCAATGTTGTCTATATCGACATCGCTGTCCTCAACCGCAAGGATCTGCTGCACGTTCACTGGAAGTCGTCGTAACCACAACTGATAAAATATGTTTTTATCTACTTTTCTGTCACCGATTATGCTTCTCATATAGTTTTTTAGTCGCGATGGAGTCCTATCTCCTATCTGCACTTGATTGAGAAGCTGTTCAACGGCTTGCCGGTTGCTTAATGAAACGGCTTTATTCACTGCCTGTTTTAGTGCGTCGTATGGCTTTTCTATATCCGGCTTAGTTAAAACCTCTCGTACATTGTCTGCTACTTCATCTGGAAGTAGTGAGCTCACGCGGCCAAATTTATCTCGTTGTGAATGAACACGATTAGCTACAAAGTAATGTTCAAGTCTGATAAACCAAAGTTGAGGATCTGTGACCTTAAAAGGGGGAATAGTTACATGAATGGACCTCACGGACGGTGCTTGTGAAAGGTCTATTGTGTCGTTACTTAAAGACATATTTATAAAGATCAAAAAGTACACGAATATAATGCGAATGCCACAGAGAAAAGTGAATCTATAAAAACAATGGTAAAAACAAATGGTACAATTTATAACAAAGAGCGGACTTACTAAATGGCACCGAAATATCAATTGTTTGTAAAATATCGTTGTTTATTATGAATATTATCGTTATACTCAATAATGTTTGTGAGATAATGTATGTATAATCAAAATAGTGAGATAATAAATCCACAGTTATAATCCAATTGATAGTTCGAAATTGAAATACAGTGCTTTGGATTTTCGGAATTGGATTATATCGTCAAAGATTGTTTCGTACTCGTGCGCTGGGATCACCGATAATGTGGTGGTCGGTATTCGATATATTCCTTAAACGTCGTATACAATTCGTCTTGATAACCGTCCTAGATAACCTCAAATGTATATTATTCAGAAGGCGAATACGAAGCGATGATTACGTTTATTTTGAGACCACACACAGATGTCCAAAATTACAGATGCATTAAACGAGCATTAAGAGTTGTGCCGAACGGCAAACAGGCAAGCGAGCAACTGAGCGAATATAAGCAATCGAGTACAATCAAGCGAGCGAGAAAGCAGAGCAAGCCATATGAATAATATGGATATATATATATATATATATATATATATAGTGAAATGAATGAGCCATCGAATAAAATAAACAGTAGTAAGACTAGCAGAGTGAATAAATGCGTGGACCGTAAGCAATATTCAAGCGTACATTTTCATACATTCGCAATAGTAATAAAGATACAGTGATTTAGGTAAGTATTTGTACGGATGACTCAGTTCGTAATTGAATTAATAGTGAACAAACTCGGTTTCACGTGATCTGCTATAAGCTAAAATAATGACTATAACGCGAATACTTTAAGACACGAAACTATGTGTAGATATGTACACCAAACTTTGTTTAGGGATAATCAGAAGGTCTACTTTTACGACTAAGCAAAAGAATAATGGTAATAATTAAATTAGATTATCGGGAGAAATTACCTAGATCGAAATTTTACATTTGTGTGAAAAATTCAGCAAGAAATGTACTTGTCATTGGAAGGTGGAGTGCTAGTTCACTCGCTCACTCACTATTGTTTCTAGTCTCTCCCAAAACCGAATTACGGCTTCACCATGAATTTCATGTCACCGAGCCCTCTTTCTAAATGAGACGTAAATCTCCTAGATCAAGTTTAGAGACGGGAAACCAAGTATGTGATAGCGTTTAAACCCTAATTCAACGACAATAGACTCCAATAACTGAGATTATTCTCGTTGGACTATAAGACAATAAGAAGTGATTTGATATTTGCATACAACATACTAAGCACACCATGCTATCCTGACGCATGGACATTACCAGGAAATCATCATCACGCTCCTCAAGTCAACCCTCGGAAGATTGAAAATGAAATGGCAAACACTCAGATACGCTGTCACATTTCCCCATTGGGAGTTGTGCATATTTGGAATACTCTCTCGTACGAAGTGACCATGTGGTCCACCACAACCACAACCTTATCAGTGGGAAGCTTTTAGAGTGGATTTGATAAACATTTATCTACGTACAACCATATCCCTCTTGGAACAGCTGTGACTAATGAATGTCTCATAACTTACGACGGATATCATTACTACATATCGGTAAATACTTCCTATCCTGCTCAATATCATTTCTGTCTCCTCCTTAATTCCTTCACCTCCGTGTTTTCACACTGTATGCATTCCCGACAAGCTAGCTTATCTACTATTCTTGGGACATTTGCCTTTTTTAGCACTCGCATTACCACTTCGTTTTGACTATTACACTGACTAGAATTAGGAAAGTCGAGTGGCTGGACTACCACCTGTTGGACATTACTAAATGCCTAAAACCGCACTGACACAACAAGAAGCGAGTGCAAATGAATCAATCAGCCAATACATGCTCATGACAGAGATATTGGGTACTACAGTTTTGAGCTCCAATATTGACCTCGCAATATGTGCACTCGTACTGATTACGGAAATTTTAACTGCAAGCATTCTTTCACAACTAAACATATTTAGTTATTCACATCATCGCTTATCCTGTTTTATGTTATTGTTTGCCGTTATATTTCCAAAAGCAGTCTTATTCAAGTACACAGACGACCTTGAGCTGCAACGAAGTCCCTACTTATAGGACGACCTATGATAATTCATTTAAATCCCACTGGTCAGTAGTTTTAGCATAAAGAATCAGTCATTGTACATGAATCATTGTTATTCTCATGAAACTTCAACACCAGCTAAAAGGCAAGAACGTTTTGTAGCTTTTTGAGCGGTTTTCACTCCGAAATCTTATTGGTTCATACACTATACTCTATGAAGTAGCTACTTCTGCCAACAGACTTGATGATTTACATGATATTATATCATATCATATTACAGTTGTATTATTTAATATATAGTTTTATGAGCATGATCCATACAGCTGGATTACGTTCCATCTAACAGGCTTTCCAGGACTTTTTAAGTGTCTTATCGATTCGATATATATATATATATATATATATATATATATATATTGATTTTTCTCAAATGCATTGGTTTTTGTTTCTCCTCCTTTCACTTAGGATTTTTGAAATCACGTCTGCTTTTTCAGGAGTGTTATAAACCAATTATTGGGCGAATCACCAGTGTAGTAATTTAGAATTATTATAAACCGCGTAAGTTAGATATCAATGATGGTTATTGTATTGCAGAAGCAATTTAATATCTACTTTCTTGTTAATTCGCCAGTGTCACGCAGCTATGTCAGGTATCATATTTATTCAACAATTACTCATAGTTTATCAGATTCAGATTCAACTTTACCAGCCACAGACGACTTTGGGTCAAGGTTCTTAGAATTTGATGAATACTCTTTCGAGCAGACTGATAATACAGAAGTAAATAAATTATATTTTTGTGTAAATGAATGCTTGTTAAAGAAGCAGAAAGCGTGTTCTCACTAGTTTCATTTCCCGAGGCTATGGACCAAGCTAAATTTCCTCAAAACATTTCACCCAGCCTTACAGATGCCTTTGAAGATGACCGTAAAGCGTCCCTCCCAAAGAATCGAATTGTTTTATTAACACCAGGTTTGTTGGTACTGGTAGCTTACTTACTTACTTTACTTGCGCCTGTTATTCCTCGTGAAGGAGCATAGGCCGCTCACCAGCATTTCCCATCCAACCCTGTCCTGGGCAATCCTTTCCAGTTCCTATTCATCCTTTTCATATCTGCTTCTATTACCTAACGTAATGTGTTCTTAGGCCTTACGAGAGTTGAAACAGACTTAGTTGACACACGCAGTTGCTAGTCTACAACTCTTACTTAAGTTCTGCGAGATCTTGCCCTTAAATGACCTACCTTATTTGTTTTGCGTATAAGTGGCGTTATAAGAACGATGGAAATTAAAATGTTTTAGGGACGGTAAAAAGTTCACTTTTGTAATAAGTGGTTCGTAAAGCAAAGCTGCTACCAATTTTCATGGCATCGTTTAAATGTAATTAATACTCACCTGGGCTTTCTAGTGAACTAACATTAAGTTGTAACCTAGCAAGAGTCGATACTTGGTTTGGACGATCGTTCCAACCAATTGGTTTGGGACAAGATGTCTGTCTATCACTAAAATCAAAGACAGATGATCTCCTACATACTGTCGCATTAGTACAGTTCAGTCCGATTATATGTTTTGGTTCACTTTCTAAGTACATCAATATGTTATTGCAAACTCCGGAACTTGGTAAGATAAGTATTCCATAATGTTTATAAAAGCATTGTATGAAAACAAGGAGTGGTCTCCAACTGGAATATGATAACCAGATCTTCTACAGACCGAAATTAACCACTGAACATAACTTCCGTCACGATGTGACAGTATAACATGCTGCACTGTTATTGATTTGTCCTTTATTCAGTCCATATAACTCCCTCATTTGATCTGAACTACGTGCAGATAACGTCTCCAAGTATGTTCAATGCACACAGTCACCAAAGTCACTTATGATACTCTACCTTCTTGAAATCAGCACTAACAATCCATAACTTGCTACTTTGCAATTTACAAGACAAAAATAGAAACGTCCATTGGAGTAAGAGGACTTTTTAATGAAAACTGAAAGATGCAGTAAAGTTGGTAATATCCGTAACATTTATGCAAATTAGTTACAAGGTCACAGTCCCATATAGGATGAAGTTATGTAGATGGTTCAGCACATCAAATGGAATTTTAGAGGATGGAGTATAGCTGTACTTGATAATAACAGCTAGGTAGTTAAAAATCGAATAATATAACGATTAAGTCATTTCGAAAAAATTTCTGAATGCTATATTAGTCAAACTAATCCCTCCATGGTTGTCACAGGATGATTTTGATCCATTCTTATATATTGGGACAATCAGGTGGGATTACGTCCAACTCCCAGATTTTAGCCGAAATATTAGTCAACCTAATCGCTAAAATTGGACCACGATCCTTGAAGACCTCTGGAGCCAATCCATCTGCTTTTCCTCGTTTCAGAATAGCTATAGCCTCTCGAACTTCAGCTAGAGTTGGGGGACCTACTTCAATGTCCCATTTACACTGTCTGGGAATGGAGAGTAGTTGTAGAGTAGCTGAACTGTTCCGCCCATCGTTCTAAACGTCTGGTCTGAGAACAGATAAGAGTGTTGTCTTTTTTCGAAATAATCTGACTTACACTTGACTTATTAATTCCAGTTTCTTTTATTAGTCTGTAGAGCTGTGTTGTGTTACCTATAGCCGCCGCCTTTTCCATCTCTTTTGCTTTCGTTGCACACTACTGCTCATGGTCGTTCCTTAGACTTTTGCTTAACCTAGATCTGATTTGTTTACACTCTTCATCGTGTTCAGAACCTGATGGTATGAGCTTACGAGAACCCATCAGTGTAATAGACCTTGAAAAAATCCATTGGTTCTTTGTAACCCTGTGGTTTAAATTACTGATAGATGTCACTACTGTTTCCACAGCTGCTTGTATATCTTTCCAAGCTACATCTGGGCCAGCCTCATTTTCAGAACTATCTAAGTGTGACCTTGTTTGTCCCTGAAACCTACTTTTAGTTTTCTCGTTACTAATTTCAGTTCTAGTAGGTCTTTTTAATGTGACTTTCATGCGTCCAGTGAGGCGCAAGCAGATGCGTGCTCGTATTAGGGCATGGTCGGAGTTCAGGCAGGTACTCCAAAATGAGCGACAGTCTTCTACCGACCCTCTCCAACGATGACTGATGGCAATATGGTGTATTGGAGTCTATCGATGGTTTGGTGTATGGGGTCGCCATGTTAGACGATGTATCTCCTTATGCTTAAAATAGTGCTCTCTCCGATGTCTCTGTTTAAATTAGTGATTACTATAGATAAACGATTTTCTGAGGACAGTTGAGGAAGACGATCACCATTATCTGTTCACTGAGCCGGAATACTAAAATACGCACCTTAATGCCTTTCTGTTTGGTTTAAACTACCGATCTGGGCATTCAAGTCACCTACTACGAGTACTATATCTGAACGTTTAGCTTTCTGCAGAAGTTCAGAGAGCTTTCTATAAAATTCATCTTTCAGTTCATCCGAGTTACAGTCAGTCAGAGCGTAGGCAGAAACGACAAAAAGAGTTCTTACGGAGCCGTTTAGCCGGACAGCACATGAACGACTGTTAACGGGGATCCACTCTAACAGTGCGTGTTCCGCCCTCATGCTTAGTGCTATGCCTACACCTGCCAGTCCACGAGAGTCTGCCATCGGGTCGCCAGATAAACGGGGCGCGTATCTCGTTGGCTCCCCGTTTAGTCTAGGTGAGGTCAAGTGAATGATCACACTAGGATCCTGTACGCGTTTCAGAGACACAGCATACATCGATGGTACGAGATTCTAGGGTTTTAGCCAAGGAGGCATGTTGGTCGATTTGACATTAGGGTGAGTACTTTGAAGGTTCCAATGTGTAGTTTTGAGCGGTTTCAGTAGACCTGAGAGTGTTTTGCGCACTAGAATCGTTGGCTATGGTGACACTTGAGGAGGAAGCTTAGGCTTGAAAGTCGATGTAGGAGAGATGATATGAATTGAAGAGGGAGGTTGATTATGAATACAGTGGTCTTGAGTGCTATTAGAGGTATGAGGGCGGTTATCACTTCCCGGTTGCCCACACCGTAGAAGGGTTCTTCTAGAGGTACTTAAAAAGGAAATTGGGCTAGAGTTGGTTTTAGTGATCTGAGAGCGTGACCGAAGTGCCGAAGGGACAACGTGTTGAGATTTTACCGCCGGAGAATGAAATTTGTGGGATGAGACAATTGTAACAAAATGATAGGTTTCGAAGAAGCGCCATATATATCCAATTTATAATTCCCATAAAATCATTAAGATGAATTGATAAAAAACGTCATTGAATGTAAATATCATTTTTAGGGTGCGTTACACATAATTCGTGTCTCATTAATGTGAACAGGCTGAAAGAAATACTATTTTAGACCAAAATATGCGACAAGAGTGCATGAAGGGTCCATGGTTTTCTTATCCAGGTTACAGCAGAGCTCAAGGATACGAGATCTAGAGATTAGAAAGAACTAGATTTTAGTCATCAGTTAAGGAATTTTTTTAGTCCGTACCACAAAAATGTTTTCAGCTGGTTTATTAAAAAAGCAGTCACAACACGTGAAAAATGCTGTTATGTGATACAAAAACAAAGAAATCTTGTCAGCCCACCGACAGTGGACAACTTCATCATAGTTACTTGCTCCGCATTCCTTCGATAAAATTTGAGTTAGTCTCTAATTTTGGTACTTTGAACAAAATACACTTTTATTCAACATTTGGCCGAACATGAGTTTTCTGCGCGCCACATTAAGTTTATTTTAAGTTTTCGTGAATATAGTTTCTAATGCAGTTGCAAAATAATAACTATCAATTTATTTATGATCGTTCAGATCCCGCAATGCTATATTAAATCGTGAAGTGAAAGTTGACGTGGAAACACTCAGGAAAATTCTTTTAAGAAAATATCTTGAAATTTCGGGCGTAAAAATTCACGGTATCCAGCACACATTGTGGTTCTTTTTTAAGAACTATAAAACTGAAGTGAATTAAGATTAGAAACTATTATGGTGTGGTTAAAAGTGCTGAATTAGTCACATTGACGTTTAACAGCCAAAGATTGTTTCAGATCATCACGATAATTATGTTTAGTTAGCAGAAGATAAATTTATAGTCTAATATTGGGTTGGTTACACACTGAAGATTATTAAGTCAAACGTCATGGTCTACTGTAATCAGTTGATTGACGAATACAATTACTACATATTAGGGAAGCAAACATTGGTTTCTAAACAAAAAATCATGATATAACAGAAATATATGAATAAATTAAAAGACAATCAAAGATTAACGAAAACGGTTAAATAAATGCTTTGTGCAGATTACCTTGTTTCTTTACAAGCTACCGATGTGACCGCTTCTTTATACGTTTTAAGAATATGTATACTATGTTTGCGACTATCAGAATTCAATGCGTTAGTTAAATCTTTCAAGGTGTTTGACAGTAGAATAGGGCAAACTAAAAATGGAGCATCACTGTAAAAAAAAAGGAATGACACGCAGTGAATATATGTAATTTCAAAATTGTATGAATACGATCACATTTCTGAAAATATTCTCTTAATAAATAAAGCAAAACACTTTTAGATGTCTGGATATTGATGTTTGTACTGATCTCAAACAGAACATATAATAATACACAGACAAATTATTAAGTAAGCTACCAAAACTCAAAAGAAGCTTTCAGTACTACTATAAAGAATCAAATATCGAGAAAATGTTGACTTTTGGATCTATTTTAGGGAATATTATTACACATTTTTATTTTGTATATTAAATAACCTGATTGCAATACTTCCATATTCCCCACATTGGTTTTGGACAACGGACTACAGTTCACCTGAGTGAATGAAATATGATGATAGAAGCTTGCCTTTTATTATATCCTTTTACTTCGAACTAAATACAAGGACAGAACAGGTGCGTGTTGTGGACCAGTAGGTTATTCCTTGTCCGTCGAGGTGTTTCAATTATCCAAACTATAGGTCGTTAGTATGTAGACGAGAAAGGTTTATAATCGAGATTCTTGTTGAATAATGTTAGCTAGTTGTCGATTAGGTAACGTATAAGAAAATCAGAACAATTAGTAGTAAAAATTACTTAGTTGCACTAGTGTCTGGATGCATACTATCCACCACTAGATAACCTTAGAAAAAAATACATTTAACAATATACTTACTCAACTTACAGAGTAATAGATGCAACAGTTTGGGTAAATTGATTTTCAGTAAATATTTTTGCCAGGCACCTTAATTTCTTCTCATAAAGCTAAGTTACCGTTTACATTTATGATTACAATGCAACTCACTGACCGTATGGAGTTCGATACTCTGGCTAGTGGGCTTCTTCTATCATGTTCGAACTAGCGACATTACCCGATTGTTTTCGCCATCAATTACGACCCATTAGTTATTACTAAAGTAAGTCCTGATAAACTACAAGGTATTAGTACACTCGATATGATATGCGAGTAACTCCGTTTTCTATTCGTAACACCGATAGTGTCTAGTTATGAATAGAAAACTAGTCCTCATTGCATGATTGTTAGACAGCTCATTTTTGGGTACTTCGTAAAATGACTAAAATGAACTATGAGATGTCACACTATTAGCTACCATCAAACATAAAAAATATGGCAATAGATTTGAGTACAGGAAGTATGTCCGTAGCGTTGCCTAGTTGTTTGTCTACGTGATAAAAGAACGGCATACTAACGTATCTTATCAGTACGTATTAAATGTCCTGTCTCATATAACCGACATGATATATATATATATATATATATATATATATATATATATATATATATATATATATATATATATATAACATGTCGGTTATATGAGACAGGACATTTAATACTGTTGACAAAAAAAGCAATGCATTTAAAGGATGAAGATGTCTGGAAGAGAATTCGATAACTAACCTCAGATAAATACCACTTGAATATGTATTGGAGTATATTGAATATGCGAAATCCACCCACTAATTTAAAGAAGAAATTATTTGCAATAACTCGAATAATAATCAGATAAACGAATGTGAAATAACTACATAGTAATAGAACATATTCGACCACTAAAAATATAAAATATTAATCAGTAACTTGGTAGCAACAAAACACGATGGCAATAAGAAACTGATTTAAAACCATACACTCAATGGCATAATTAATTGTGATTGAACTTTCTTCACGCTAAAAGATAGCAGTCATGAGATTTACAATATCGTTGATAACTTATTGATAGAATAACTAATAAAAACAGAAGTGAAATAGCAAAGGTGAATTGAAGAAAACGTCAAGTTTGAAACATTCCCAATTTACGCATCCATTCCTACTCTATTAGATATTGGCTGCAATCAATCAGGAAGTATTTGGCGATAACAACAGAGTTTATTAGGCTAGTTCTTTCTCGTCTTGATTACACCTAACAAGGGAAGGTATAAACGACTTAATGAGGATCCAGTGATTTAAAGCTACTTTAAGACTAGAGTAGGACAACATCATATAGACCAGTCGAAGATCTCATAAGGTTTTCGGATAAGCGATTTTTTGTGTATACTAATGAGAAATTCAAGTGTCCTCTATTTCAGTCATGACATCCCCATGTCATGACTTGGGGATGACATTTCATTCTATTCATTCAGAAATTCATTTCAGGTCAAAGATGTACAGTAATGTCTCTTACAGCGATAGTCTTATTATAAAGTAGTCAACGGAAATGTAATACACAGAATCTAACCACGAATCACGCTGCAAACAATGCTATTGTACATTGCTTACCTTTTAACTACTGTTTTCAAATGAAAAAAATGCAAGGAAATCCAATTATACGCTGACAAATTTGCAAAGGCATATGAAGGGACTTAATTTAATAAACGAGATCATTTAGAAAAGGATCGAATTTTCAAAAAAGTTTGAGTTGTTAAGAATAATAACATGAAAATGTCAAGTAGAGAAAACGTTAGTTATGAAACCAAAGCTTTGAAAAATAGAGCTTTGAGACCTACATTAGACAGAATGTTGCGCTGACATGTCACTTGTTCACAACCAGAAATGGACAAAGCTTTACTCTCAGTCAGATAAATAATTTGATCGTAAGTGGCAAACTGCAAAATATGAGTCCGAAAATCCAATGTAGGGCTATTTAGTACCATTGACTAAATAATTTAAAAAAAAAGATGATATAAAACGATTACAAAAAAGGATTTGTAAGAGAAACAAAGAAAAAGACATTAATAAAAGCTTACGGCGATAGCTCCTGGACCAAGGTGTTTATAATGTATTTTGACAATGTCTTTTATTATGCGACATAGATAAGGATCATTTTTCCAATTTAATTGAGCAATACCACGTGTAAACTGTAAATTAGAGATTAGAAAATTGATATAAAACGAAATATTCATTAATTCAGTAAAACTATATACTTACATACTGATGCAGTTAAAATAAAACTGAAGTAACATGAAGAGAAAAGGCTAGGAATATTTGATATTATAAAAATGAAGTTAATGAAATCGATATTTAGAAGTTTGTAAGTAGTTTATTTATAATTACTTCAGGTAGCTGCTCTTGCATGGACTCCATGACATAACATGGGAATATATCGGATTCGTTGAGAGTAGAAAATCTGTTAGGATCCTGTGTTTCGTATAACTGTCGTGGAAGAAAAAAGTGATCCACCAATTTCTCAAAGCTTGATACTGAGCCTTCGGTAGTGACTGGAGAATAAAGTAACATTGAACAGTGACGAATTAACATCCCTGCCACTCGATAACCGCTTCCACATAAATCCTCCGGTTTTAAGAAACTGTTCTGTGTCGTGTGACTCAAACCAAAACCACTTTCCTGTGCAGAACTGGACACAGAGCAACATGTACAAATAAACTCACTTAATCGACCAATATATTCAACAAAAATAGATTTGAATAACATTCGAGCTTGAAATGTCTACAGATAATCAAATGAAAAGGTTAAAAGACAAATACATGTCAGATGGCACATGAAATATTAAACAAAACGCTACTGTATCAAAAGTACATGTAATATTGGAGGAGTCTTAAAAATATCTCTCGTCAAAGTCCCTAGAGACCCGGAGACGTTTAATCCAGTCAGCGTTGAACAGAATTTTCGCAGAAACATCTAGAATTATTGGCTACGGTTTTGATTGGATAATAACCTAAACTATTACAACAACTATATTTAATATGGTTCCAGAAAACCGGCCTAAGGTCGTGTGCATTTCTACAAATACTCTCGTTTTTCTGTACATGTCCAACCTTGGGGTAAAGCTTTCACTCGCGATTCACACCTCTCTAGTGTTCCAGTTGATGGGTAGAAGTAGTTGAATATATTGGAACTGGTTAAGGAGACAGCTTAAGCGTATCGGTAGAGAGACTTATTATTACTAAAAATTTTTTATTAGTATTGCTACATCTAATTTCACTATGCCTTATCAAATTTTTACAATAGATGGTGACGTGCTAAAACTAACTTACGAGTGAATGCCAAATAATTTCAATCTTCGGATCACGGAAATCGTTATCTAAATTTGGGAATGGAACAGAAACGTGCACTTTCACCTACTCATAAAAGAGTATATAAGGAACCAAGTTGGCAAAATGCTATACAAGATTAGCATCTTTCAAGGGTTTGTAGTAAAATGATGGTGAATGTTTAATTGAATATTTAAGTACTCTGAGGGTAGAAAAATAAAAGTATTCTTATCTTCGATGACTAAATAAACAAATTTTGTTACAGCAGAAAACATTGATTCCGTGATACTAATGAAGACATTCATTTCAAATTTGTAATAATATTATATGACTTTAACAAACTTTTATATAAGTTGATTAAGACCTAATGATGCTAATTGCCGAGAAACAAAGATTATACAGTGCTTATTACTAGTCTTTGTAGTGGAAGCAACTGAGTGATTTGAGTTGTGTCAACAAGACTTCAAGAAAGTAGTTTCTAGCAACGTATGCTGAACATGGAGTTTGGTCGTTCAAAAAACAGACTGACAAACATGCACACTGCTGAGGAGTCCCACAATAGAACGAACCCGCCATCCAGTGCTTCCAGATTTTACATGGTGATCTAGCTTCAATTGACTCATGATTTTAACCATTGAAATATTCATTTAAACACATAAACATGGATACAAGAAGGTACCAAACGGATATGAGCCATATAAATCATTTGATTTTTGTGAGGGCTGGGATACTACCCGGGTGCCCAAACCGAAACAGGTGGCTTTCCCGAACCTTTGACCTAAAGGTCTAATCCACAAGGCAGTGGAGCAACGTGAGGAGATGCAGTCCCATGGAAGTCGGTGACCAAGAATTGGTTCATACTCCATTCGTTTCCTAATGATCCAGGAGCGCATGTACACCATTGGTTTGGAATCAGGGTTTTCCAACTCCCCTAGGTGGATCCTCCGCATCCACCAACCCCGTTAAAGCGCCATACATTCAATTTTCGTCCCCTCAATTTCGTAAACAATACTCCCACTACGAGAAGGTAGTGAGTAGAACTTCCCTGGCAGTGATTGTATGCACGTGAACACTTGAGAGCATTTGGAGAGGGAGAGCTAACTCTCTTACTCGCCCGTACCAGGGCATTTCAGGACTGACAAAAATGTATTACTCTATTCACGAAAGAATTTTAATGTTGATTTTCGTAACACTTCGCGACAGCTAATGCTGGGGGAGGGAGGTTAGTGCATATTATTAAAGAGTTAAAAATGAAGTCTTGTTATCTTTCTCTCTATGAACTACAGTTGTCACTGAAAGTCTGAACTAAGTAATAATGTGCTACCATGCATTGAATTCGGTATTTCGACCATATGATTCATGGGATACATCTAAATAATCCAATGATTCAGACCTCCAGTTAAATTTCAATTATGACAGAACAGCCAAAGTGTGGTTGAATTAGTGGTGATTTCAGTGACTTAGGATTTTAAGTCATGTCTGTCCTAAACGTGTAAACTACTAGATTAAAAAGTGAAAAATCAGGATAAAGGTAAATGACTTACAGAGAGTTCATCGAAATAAGCAGCTATATTAATGAAAATGGTCTCAGGATCTAAATTGGAGATTGTTGAAATGGTTATTTGCTTTGGCAGATAAGCACGAATTTCGCTTATAAAAGACGGAAAGACGAAATCATCATGACTTTCTGTCGAAAACGAATTTACAGTTCTAACAAACAAACAATACGTTAGTAAAGCGACGAAGAATAACCACGCAACTGTAGAAGTTTCCTTTTTACTTGAGTTAAGAATGATAACCAATTCTTTAATTGTACTAGATGTGCCATAAAATGCTTCCATAATACTAAAATGAAACCTGTATTATTAAAAAAGTAAGGAAGAAAAATAACATCTAAAGCGAAAAAATATTTACATATGGACATTAGGAAAAAAACACAACAACAAAGGTTTGTCATGACACTGGGGAATTAAATTATCCACACAACTAGGAATACGTTAAAGAATATATATAACATGGTGTCGTGGCATGAAAGAAAGCTGCAAAGAACTGGCTTGTGTTGGTCCTTCACAACTCTCTGGTTGGGGTCCGAGAGATGGTGCAACACAGTGGCTAGAGACGTTGGCAGATATGGCTCAGAATAGAAGCCAGCGGCGATCCTGTCGTAACCTTCTTTTACTTTTTTCATAAAAAATGGTTGTATCTTCCTTAACTGAAAGATTTCTTCTGATTGTACCTTTCCGTTCCCCCATTATTATTATTATTATTATTATTATTATTATTATTATTATTATTATTATTATTATTACGCTACCAATCTCTTCCTTATTGTTTTTTTTAACCTTCCTTACCTTTTTGCTCTTTCCTTCTTTTTAAATTCTCATTGTTTTGTGTGGCGCACTCTTGTACCAATATGTATGTGTTCAAATAAAATAAAATACGTTAAAGAATTCCATAATTGTCAGTCATAAAGTGTCATAAACTATTACATGCGTAAAAAGTATTGAGTTTCTTTCAGCTTACTATTAGTTATTTTGGTACATAAGTAAAATACAATAAACATATGGGTTAAAAAAACTTACGAAAAATCTATAGACGGATTCATTGTGAACAAATCAAATAGGTCAGCGGGATCAAGAAGATAGAGAGTCGATTTACTAGAAGAAAGGAAATTGAAAAACCAATTAATAAGCAGTTTTTGGTGAACAAAAAATATCATATGCACAAGCTTATTTCTTATGTAATATCTGTCCATTTTTCCATGGATTAAGTTAAATCACAAGATGTTTATCATTTCACAGACATCTTATTCTATTAACAGTAGAAATATAAATATATTGCATAAAACATATTTGGAGAAAGGAATTGTTATATCTAGAAGATTGTTTTTCATATACCGCGTATAACGTGAGCACTAGAACGCCAGAACCCTTCCAAGTCGCAATGAGAAGACAGAAGACTAATGAAAGGAATATTATTCTCAGACAGTATCAATTATAGTACAAAATTCCCAGGTATTTATAGTTTTCAGTAAGAACGCAATCATCATTACAGTCCTCCAATCCGAATACACGGGGTTATTAGCATTGTCCAATCGAGAAGCTACACGTAGGAATTCTAAAATATCCTCCCAAAAGGTGATTGGATGGAATATCTTCGGCTCCTTCTGAGCCTCCTACAGCTTCCTCGAGTTCACTCGTGGTCCGTCGTCACAGGAATGGAAGCATAACTTATGTTTTCCCCTGTAGAGTACACTTGAATTTGAGATAACATTTAGTAAATATTTTTTCGATTTCTGATTGATGTATTGCACAGGAAAACATTATGGGAAGTGAAACCAGTGACGTGACCTAGTCAATGGAAGTAAACAGAATCTCGAGTATTTTTTAACTTCTACTCTACCAGACGTGTAATGTTAAGACAATACAATTAAGATGTTATTTTCTTCTATATCATAAAAGTATCTTTTTTTAAAATATCGTACGGCCAATGACCAATTTCCACTTGGTTAGTTATAAATGTCAGAAAATTAAAATAAATCCACTAATCAATAAGACTTTACATTTGTGCGGATAGAGTAATAATTTGTTTTACATATTATTTACGCAAAACGAATAAACCACAATTAGTGTAGACAAGGCAAACCATCTTATTACCTGGGACGTATCCGGGATACAAGCAGTAGTTAAGTAGGTAAAAAAGACTGAATTATTGTCAGATAAGTAGAGCATAGTAATGACTAATAACTCACATTTTTTCAAGAGTACGAAACAGAGAGAAATGAAAAATAACGAAAACATTAAACATATGTGGTATGGTTTTTAGGCAGCAATTCATCAGGAAAGTCGAACTAAGAGTCAACTTTAGAAGCACTAATCTAATAATGCTAACAAAGAATAAATTAAAACATCAATTTTTTCTGTAGAAAGTTAAAATCATAAATACAGACGAAAATAGGTAAGAAATAGTTTCTTACTGTTCGCTCCTGTATGAAAAACAGATATTGGATAAGCGAATAAAATATAATGCAATTTTGGATAGGATCGATAATAGATTCACGGGTATAGGAGCACATTTGGTATTCTGTCTAGAAATAGCCTTTTTAAACGCAGGATAAACAGAACTCCAAAAGAAACCTGAAGAAAGAAAACAAAAAATAATCATCCAATCTAGTTACAGAATGTGTTTTAACCAATGATGAAATGTGGTATTCGTATATCGAATGTTTTATAAACAATTAAGCCCTTTGTTCGGACAATACAGTCATACATGTCTACGGTCTTTACCAGTGTTGATCTATTTATAGCTACAATACATTTTGGACAGATCTGAGATTTCTATGTCGAAAAATATAGGCTATTGAGGTAACATATGAATATAGAATAACCACACTTTTCATTGGTCGTATATTTCCTAGTAAATGGAACTAAGAAATTATTACATACAAACATACATCTGACCGACAAAAAACTACCTCAGAATACTAAATTTAAACAAGTTATTAAAAAAGTAAAATGCCCCTGATTTTTTAAAAAGGGTTTAAACAAACGCAGAACTTCTCATTTACTGGGTACATATTAGTGCTAGAATTCGAGTTACACTCTAAGTAAGACGGCAAGAAATATTACCTGGTTTTCTAAACTGTGGTAGGTGGAGCGCTGCGCGAATTGGTGACTGGTAGTATAACACCTTAACTACTGGACCACCACTCTACTCAAAAGGGATAGCTGTAGTCAAGTTCGGCTACTTGGTTCCGATTTATTTTTATCTACAATTTGAATTTACAGACTTTCCCTAAATCCTATCACAGCAATAATATTTAGTATCTGAGGCGCATTTTGCCCGGTTTTAAATTGGTCTTTCTGAACGCCACATACTTTGACTGGATTGGTGGATATGGAGGATCCACCTAGATGATTGGGAAAACCCTGGTCCTAAATAAATGATGAACAAAGGCTCCTGAGCGTCAAAGGAATGAGTGGTGTATAAACCGGTATCGGTTACTGACTACAACGGGACCGAATCTCTCGATAGTGCCCTACTGTCTTTTAGGTTTTGGCCTTCGATTGAAAGCTTGAAGAATGGCTCCCTAAAAAAACCGCTTGCTTAGATGAGAGTATCCAGGGTGTACCTCAGGTCACACAAAGACTTTAATATTTTGTCACATTCATTTACGTTTTATATTGCATCAGCTATTGGTTCAGCTTGATTCCCATTTTGTGTATTTTTTATAAGTTACAGAAGCCCGTGTATGGTCGAAGTGTTGTCCTGTTTAAACGTTCTCGACACACTAAGTGGTTGGATTGGGTAGAATATCTTCGGCTTTCTGAGCTTCTTACAGCTTCCTCGAGCTCACCCGTTGACTGTCCACATAGTTACATTATAAAGCTCAAGTAAAGTGAGTAGACGTTATGGGAAACGATGTTTTTTTCGTTATCTCCGCCTGAGACGCTGTTTTAGGAGTGCCTGTCTAGACTTCGATCATAGTTTGTTCTGCACAAGCTTATCATGTATTTTGGTGGCTAGTAAACGTCTTATCCTGAACGGATTAATATCAGCATGGTGACAGTGACTTCTGTTACAATCAAATATAAATCAGAGTTAGGTTTAATGCTAATTGCTATTTCTTCGAAATATGCGGATGAGCATTGGATGCGTTTGTTTGATGTCTTGAAAAAAGCGGGTTACGTCTCTTGTGACTTCATGTAACGCCCCAATTATAAGAACCGGGTATCTACAGGTTTGTTACAAATTCCTCAGCCACGTTTACCTAATCTGACAAATTATAAGTTTGATGATGAACGTAGATACCTGCGTAAAGAAACTTTACGAAATCCGCGTACCAGCCGAAAAACTTGATGGTTAGAGCATACGATTAAGTTGGAAATAGCTGTATGTGGTAACTGCTGAAAGCTATTTTAACTCATCTGAGTCACTGGTAGAAAGAAATGTGACATGAATGAAACAATCTGTGAGGTTGATCGAACGCAAAATTAGTAGCATCCAAGACATATTAGACGAAGGGAAGATTTTTTAGAGGAGCAGATCGACTGGCCTATTGCTGCAACAACATCGACCAGTGTTACTTAGCCTACACAGCCGGAGACGACTGATAAGACTACCTGAAGAGTTAGAAGCCAGCAAGGAACTCCAACTTCCCCTCAAATGTCCCATTCAAGCAGTAAGTTTATGTAGGGTCGCCCAATCTCACCATTTCTCTTCCAATCACTAATCGATGACATTCTGGAAACATTCCTGATAGTAAGTAGTAATAGTGTGGACCAATTAACTTCTAAACTGTGCAATGATACTCAAGCTATACAAATCGCACTTAATCAGTTGGGAATGATATGTACTCTGAACTCACCTTTAAGTACAAAGTACTCCTACAAGATAGACAGGAGCCTATGTCTGAGCTTACTCTTAAGAGTGAGATGATAGATGTAGCTGGAAAATTCGTGTATCTAGGTGGAGGGGTAAAGGTTGAGATCAGTTTACATAGATTGAAAGCCAGTGTGGCTTATGCCAATCTGGGTCATCTTGAGTGCCGTTGTGATGTTAACCTGGTTGTAAATGTTGGGTCTGCAACACATCAGTGAGAGCAGTTTTATTCAGTGCTTGTGAAATCTGGTCTATAAGGGTTGAGGATGCTAGGCGACTCTCTGTTTGAATTCCAAATGATTACTGAAATTCAGTGGCAACACCGTATTTGTAATATGGAGGTCCGGAAATGTATGTTCGGGCATAATGACGACAATTCATTTAATGTCACCATTTTAAATACCGAATTCGGAGGCTTGAACATGTCTATCAGTGTCACCCAGACAAATTTCATATCGTGTATTAAATGCCGACGATCGGACTGGCTGTAAAAAGCGGAGTGGTGATCAATGGCGACTCCATAATTTGGGTTTGAGAGATAATACAACTCAGTAATTCGAGACTATCAGACATGGCTCAGAACAAAAACCAATGACGATAAAATGCAATTTTATTTCACACATGTTATAAAATTCAGAGGTACTTCTTTAACATAAGGGTTTTTTATGGTTGTATTTTTTTTAACTGAAAGGCTTCTCTCATCAAACAGTACTGCCGTTCACTTATTTTTATTCGTTTGTCTCTCTATCTTTTCACAATCTCACTTCTTATTGCGTGACGCATATTTATTTTCTTTCATATATATACCAGTGTTTGCGTTTGAATAAAACAAGTCTTGAAGACAGGAAGATATAAACCGAGTTGAAAACCTTCAATAAATACGCAATAATTTAAAAAGCCGAAATGATTTCGGATAACTTAAACACTTGATTTTAGTTCGATCTATATAGTTGATACTCTTCAAAAGACAATATTTGCATATGATAACTTTTGTTAGCATCTCATTGTGATTTAAAGGTGTACTAGTCATAGTTCTCCTGTTTGATGAAAAAGTGACTGTTCTACTGGCTCAATCAGTCATGGAAATTATTAGATGAAATATTTACTTACATTTATCATAGAGAACATTATACATGACTCTTAAAAAAGGTGATGAATTTATAGTTCAATACCCAGTTGACAAAAAATACAGAACAAAAATCTTATCCTTAATAGAAGTAAACATTGATCGGCAAAAAATTTGTCTGAAGGGTTCTAATGGTTGATAAGAATGTATGTAGACACCTCAAATATAAATAAACATCCTGTATTATTTGAGAAACTTCAAGTTAGTAACACAGTTATATGACGAAAAAAGCGACACTAGGATTAAAACTGTCTACATCATTTGAAGAGTTGTATACTTGCAATGAAACAATACCAATAAGGAGAAAAAAAGACTTACTAAACAATTCTAAGTTTGATTCAGAGTATTCTAACGAACTATGAGAAAAAAGAAAAGGGATTAAAGTAATGCTGACGGCTGAGTACACAAAACAAAATCAAGAAATTAATCAATAATGCTTTTCACATGAGGTCAATATGAATTTAAACAATTTACGATGTTTTTATAAGAGCACTAAACGTCGAAGTCTGAAAAATGAGGAGAATAATTAAAACTAAAACAACAGTCACTATTCTAGATGTTTCCTCCGTTCGTACTACCTTGACATAGTGGTTAGGCTTGCATATCGTGATGAAATAATAGGACTACGCTAACTGGAAAAATCGTTCCCCAAAGGTCTACAAAGACTGACAGGTTGGTTGAAGAGCGATACGACTAAAAACAGCAAACCCAAGGTCCGAGGGTGAAGTCGTACTACTAACTGTGCAAAATTGTAACGGCAGTAAAGGGTTGACCTCAGACAACCAGCATAAAAACGATGCTACCTTTCCACAATGGGTGTGGTTAGAAAAAGTAGACCCTAAAGGTGCACAACTCACCTTATACCACGGATTTTATTCTCCAGCGGTAAAATCTCAACAAGTTGTCCCTTCGGCACTTCGGTCACGCTCTCAGATCACTAAAACCAACTCTAGCCCAATTTCCTTTTTAAGTACCTCTAGAAGAACCCTTCTACGGTGTGGGCAACCGGGAAGTGATAACCGCCCTCATACCTCTAATAGCACTCAAGACCACTGTATTCATAATCAACCTCCCTCTTCAATTCATATCATCTCTCCTACATCGACTTTCAAGCCTAAGCTTCCTCCTCAAGTGTCACCATAGCCAACGATTCTAGTGCGCAAAACACTCTCAGGTCTACTGAAACCGCTCAAAACTACACATTGGAACCTTCAAAGTACTCACCCTAATGTCAAATCGACCAACATGCCTCCTTGGCTAAAACCCTAGAATCTCGTACCATCGATGTATGCTGTGTCTCTGAAACGCGTACAGGATCCTAGTGTGATCATTCACTTGACCTCACCTAGACTAAACGGGGAGCCAACGAGATACGCGCCCCGTTTATCTGGCGACCCGATGGCAGACTCTCGTGGACTGGCAGGTGTAGGCATAGCACTAAGCATGAGGGCGGAACACGCACTGTTAGAGTGGATCCCCGTTAACAGTCGTTCATGTGCTGTCCGGCTAAACGGCTCCGTAAGAACTCTTTTTGTCGTTTCTGCCTACGCTCTGACTGACTGTAACTCGGATGAACTGAAAGATGAATTTTATAGAAAGCTCTCTGAACTTCTGCAGAAAGCTAAACGTTCAGATATAGTACTCGTAGTAGGTGACTTGAATGCCCAGATCGGTAGTTTAAACCAAACAGAAAGGCATTAAGGTGCGTATTTTAGTATTCCGGCTCAGTGAACAGATAATGGTGATCGTCTTCCTCAACTGTCCTCAGAAAATCGTTTATCTATAGTAATCACTAATTTAAACAGAGACATCGGAGAGAGCACTATTTTAAGCATAAGGAGATACATCGTCTAACATGGCGACCCCATACACCAAACCATCGATAGACTCCAATACACCATATTGCCATCAGTCATCGTTGGAGAGGGTCGGTAGAAGACTGTCGCTCATTTTGGAGTACCTGCCTGAACTCCGACCATGCCCTAATACGAGCACGCATCTGCTTGCGCCTCACTGGACGCATGAAAGTCACATTAAAAAGACCTACTAGAACTGAAATTAGTAACGAGAAAACTAAAAGTAGGTTTCAGGGACAAACAAGGTCACACTTAGATAGTTCTGAAAATGAGGCTGGCCCAGATGTAGCTTGGAAAGATATACAAGCAGCTGTGGAAACAGTAGTGACATCTATCAGTAATTTAAACCACAGGGTTACAAAGAACCAATGGATTTTTTCAAGGTCTATTACACTGATGGGTTCTCGTAAGCTCATACCATCAGGTTCTGAACACGATGAAGAGTGTAAACAAATCAGATCTAGGTTAAGCAAAAGTCTAAGGAACGACCGTGAGCAGTAGTGTGCAACGAAAGCAAAAGAGATGGAAAAGGCGGCGGCTATAGGTAACACAACACAGCTCTACAGACTAATAAAAGAAACTGGAATTAATAAGTCAAGTGTAAGTCAGATTATTTCGAAAAAAGACAACACTCTTATCTGTTCTCAGACCAGACGTTTAGAACGATGGGCGGAACAGTTCAGCTACTCTACAACTACTCTCCATTCCCAGACAGTGTAAATGGGACATTGAAGTAGGTCCCCCAACTCTAGCTCTGGAAGTCTGATCAGCCGTAGTGGGTTGATGTCTGGCGAAATCACAGCACGGATTCGAAAAACTCGTTTGGCTTTTGCCAACTTACGTCACCTATGGCGATGGCGAGATATCCGTCTATCAATAAAAGGACTAGTATACTGCGCTGTATTTCGTTCTGTTGTACTTTACGGCTGCGTAACGTGATCATTAAGAGTAGAAGATACTCGTAAGCTTCTAGTATTTGACCACAGATGCCTTAGAAATATTGCCCGCATCTTTTGTGATCGTCAGATAAGTAATAGTGAGGTTAGACCCGAATATTAGGGAATTATGGTAAATCAGTCGTTGTGATTGTAAATCCTCATCGTCTGAGATGTTAAGGCAACGTATCACGCATACCCCACCACAGTGTGCAATGCTGACTTGTGTTGGAGACGGATGGAAGAAATTGACACTTGAGAAGGAAGCCGAAAGGGGATCACCGGGTAAGTAATAGTCAGGTTAGACGCAGGGTATTAGGGAATGATTATAAATCAGTTGATGAGCTTGTAAATTTTCATCGACTGATATGGTTGGGCACGTGTTGCGTATGCCTGAACACCGATTACCGCGACGCACAATCCTGGTCTGTGTTGGGGATGGTCCTCATCATTCAGCAACAGAAGCTTCTGACGAATCTTATCATCGAGATTCTCTTTTATCAGAAAATAAGTCAGATGCGTGAAATGATGATCAGAAATCTAATACGACTTTGATAGATGCTGATTACCTTAGTGATCTATTATTCACAAATGAAAGTGATGACAATATTTCAGAAGATTCAAACTATGATGACTTCGAATTCAATGGAGTTTAGCCTCACTATCTGTTCGATTTTAAAGGTATTTCTGTTCACTATGATTTAAATACAGTCAAATTAATTGTAACTTGGGTATATGAGAACCCAACATTATTTCGCGGGGAAGGATGAACTCGGAAAATTTAAAATCCGGATCTTCAAAAAAGGAGGTGTTTGGATATTCAGGAAAATATCCCAAGAATTATTTTATTAAGTCTAATGCTATTCTTGGACTTGAGATGGTATCATTTTCCTAATGGTTAATATTTAGTTCACGGGTCAAATGTTACTTTCTATTTTATGGTACGATGTGGTCTGCTTGATTGGTATATAAACAGAGTTTGTTTGAAATATAACGATTCATATCTCAGAGGCTGAGACTTGCGTTCTGGACTAAACTGGCTGGGCTAGACAGAGAAGCGGGACCAATCAGAACTCTAGGCTACTCATACGGTTTACGTGTCACTGATGCGATCGATAGGTCACTGCTCTCTAATCAGCGGTCACAAGTTATAACACTGGAAGAAAGTTAGGGACGACCAAACCGAAACGTGGCATCAGTGCTTGAAGTCATCAACTTCCGGTTTGAGCCATGTTGGTAGATGCAGTCTACTTGGTTGGGGTCCGCCTAACTATCGTAATCAGTGGTTGGAGACTCTGGGTGACATGGCACAGAATCGATCACAATGGCGTAGGTGTATACACTTTTTGTCTTCCCTTAAACTAAGAGATTAAAATCACTTCATATCTTTCTTTCTACGAAATAATTCTTTCTCCCTGCATCATATCCTTATATGCAATCTTTTTTTAATTGAAGTAACTGCTATGAATTCGACGTTCATCTTGCTGTGCTAATAAGGTATGACAACTTGGACCCATGAATATATGTGCCTGGTCATACGTTGTAGATAACTGACTGACCGATTCTTAAAGTTTAGGTGAACTTAGTTTCAGAAAATCAGTTTTACAGATAAAAGTTAAACTTTCTGACGAAAACTATTTGACCATATAATATGAGCATAAACTAACCACATACTTGCAACAATTCGGCAGTGAAAACATTAGGAAAAACTCATGGAAAACACGCAAATGTGAAAAGTACCAAACACCTTCAAATAGGTATTCAATAAAAATGTATGATACCTAATTTTCTAAAATGGTGTTAGTACTCAGAGCTCTGAAACAATAGTATTGGGATGACATAACCCTTTGAAAAGAGCAGGGAATGAATACTACGTACTGCTGTATTGAAATCAATAACAGATGTGTAGAGATATAAATTTCAGAAAAGAGATATGTTTTTGAGACGGTGGAGATTTGTAGCTCAGTTAGATGATTTTAATGGAGTTTTTTTCTCAACCAAATCATCTAGCTCAGAAAAAAACCCCATCAAAAGCGAGATATGTTTATTTAACACTTAATTAGGAAGTGAAGAACGAATGGGAACTATAGCACAAAAGGACTAGAGTTCTGATACGTCTCCGGATGGCCAAGCTCAAGTTTATATATCTATTCACGAGGTTGAAAAGCTTCTGTACGGCTGACCAAGCCAGCAATCGATGGTTGACGAATTCTTATGTAATTTTAACGGTTAATTATAATAGCATTTACCATGAACAAACCGTTCGAGATAGATATGTTTAAGAAGGATCTAAAATGAACACAGATGTCCAGCGATAATCAAACAATGAAATATTTTATATTAATGAGAAAATGTTAAAACAATTGCCTGAAACTCACTATACAGCTTCAAGTAATTGCAAGACGCATTCGTTCCACTTAATATCAAAAGGCCAGCTAATCGAATCAAAATATGATGAGCCTGAAAATAAAAAGTGCCAAAAATCATAAAATCATTCGAATTAGAATGAACATCATAACCAATTACGATAAAAAAAAATAGTTATCGTACATTCCGATTGCATTAGGCAACGACTTCAACTACAAAATTGCTAAAACTAAGCAATGCCGCAGAGGTATATATATTATCTAATTTTCTACTTTGACAGTATGAAGACTGACATTTAAACATTCAGTACAAAATAGTGCACCTAAATCTCAAACATGAACAAATTAGTTGCTTCTGAATAGCCAGAGCCATCTCTGTAGATTTACACGAACATTCGTCAAGATTATACGGAATAGTTTGACAGAAATTGGGCGCCTAGTATAGAGAAGTCATTATATGTGAAATAATCTCAGCGATTGAAATTCCAATAATTCCAACGTTTCGTCCAGCTAACTTGTCTGGACTTCTTCAGGGTAGTAATCGAAATCTAATTAATTTTCGTGCACTGTGCATGGGCCGAATCAAAATCTAAGAATGTTGATTTCATGTAAAAAATTATTTTCAACTTATTATCATTGCCTACGTTCAACAAAACAATCAAATGTTGTAAAAAATCTAATGAACACAAGTACTAAGCTCGTTACAGACAAGGAAGACCAACGAACTGAATTAAATAAAGTATTTTCTACTCTTAGGGATAACAACTACCCAAAAGAGTTTTTAAAGAAGGTTGTTAAAAATGAGAAAAAAACTAGACTAGAATGTATACGAAAAGTCTGGAAGTACACCGTAGTCATCCCATACCGTAGTGAAACATCGGAAGAAATCAAGCGGATTCTAAACAAACACGACATAATAGTGTATTTTAGGGAGAGTAACACATTAAGATCGACATCAGTGAAAGCTAAGAACAGGTTACCAAAGGAAGAACAACAGAATATAGTGTATGAGATCAACTGTCATGATTGTAATGCAGCCTATATTAGAGAAACATCCAGGCCATTGAATGTAAGGTTGAAGGAAAACAAACAATGTTTGAAAAATGTTCCCGAATCATCGGTTGATCTGAGGGAACTTAAGAATGAGTCTGCGATAGCGTTACATGCGTTAGAAACAGGACACAAAATTAATTTTGAAGGGACCAATATAATTCTGAAAGGTTTTAACACTAATAAAGATTGACAGCAGCTCTGTATATATGGGCGAACAAGAACAGCCTGAACCGAAAGGATGGTATTCAACTAGTGACTACCTGGCGAATTTCGTTTGACAAGTAATTTGAACCCTCTCTTTATTCAACCAGTTTATTTCATATGCATCGTTATTTTGACTGAGTTCAATAAGGTTTCAGCAATACGATTATGTATTTGTTTGATTCTTAAATTTGACATGCACATCGATGATTCAGAAACCATTTTTCAACCTTGAACGTGCACTTTTATTTATTTAACACTTCATATATAACATATTAACACCGAATATCAATAATTAATCTCACAAATACATACAGACATACACAATCACACACATACAATTCATTATTTACAGGTTGAAATCATGAGTCGATTGAAGCTAGACAACCATGGAAAACCTGGAAGCACTGGACGGCCCTTTCGTCCTAATATGGGACTCCTCATCAGTGCGCATCCACGAACCCGCACCCCGCGGGATCCGAACCCAGGACCTACTGGCTTCGCGCGCGAGCACTTAACCATTAGACCACTGAGCCGGCATCCAACGGTGTTAATGTCTAACTTCAACCAATCCAATTCATTATTTAGTTAATTATTTCCATGTAGTTGAATTTTTCACATGATTTCCAGTTAACTGACTCATTTCATCCTATTTTACAAAAAATCAACATCCAAATTTGATTGGTTTAACACAGTATAGTTTTGATTGTTAAAAGCTAAATATTTCTTTGATGATTCAGATTACTACTCTGAAGAAGTCCAGACAAGTTAGCTAGACGAAACGTTGGAATTATTCAAATTTCAATCGCTGAGATTATTTCAAATATAATTTTCACATATAATGGCATCTCTGTAGATGCTTCTGAATGAGACAAGCGACGTTGACGTACGAGCGGCACAACTAGCTCAATAGACGCAGACGAATTGGTATAAAGTGACTGAAGTTGTGGGGACTCATCTTCTATGTGAAGGCAGCTATCTCATATTTTCCTATTTAGATCTCAGTCTCCATTTCCCAGAAAGGTCAGTTTATTGTACGATGCTCTGAATTTTACAAAAAATTTTATGATTACTGTAAACACTGTTTCTACCCGAAATTCTTTGTCATATTTTAAATAATATTTATTTGATCTCAAACCATGAGTTCATGATATTCACATTTACTCCGTTTGCTCGAATGCACTAATTGTTCCATCGATCTCCTTTTCGTAGCTACTTATTTAAACCAATGTGATCATATTTCAAGTTACAACACAATATAATATTCTGATAGACGTACAGTATCATTATATTTCCGGAATCTCTACCACCCCTTTTCGAACTAAATTCGATATCACTACTATTGAAGCCGATGGACACTTTTGCCAGGCCCAATACCACTTATAAATAACTGAATGAAAAATTTGTTTATACACTTATAAATTCCGACACACATAAATGTTTATACGGCTTTGAAAATAATGTTTTCATAGCAAAATATTATAAATAAGGAGAGGTGGAATAATTGTCTCTTACACCGGTAATTTCGCGCTATGTTTTACTTAGAAACCACATGATATAACGAATGATTTTTAATGAATTAAGCAAATTCAGCACTAAGGATCAGATTTCTTTAACCGATACAGCTCGATCACTTGTTCACTTAAAAGTATAAACATCATCTACATAACGGAAGGTAACCTTCTATGTAATTCTGAATTAAAGAATATCTTAAAGTTTGACCAATTGTGCGATATATATCAACTATTAAAAATTACACCTGTATAACTCAAATATAAATTCAAACAATCAAATACGCTTTTGATCGAAGGACCAAAGCCGCAATTCACTAAATCTCCACAAAACCAAGGAAACTGACCTAAACACTGTATGATTAAAAAAATACGACCTGAAGGTAGTGAAACATGAGTGGAATTATTTGGAAGCAGAAGATCGACAAGAAACTGAATTGAGATAGATGTGAAGTCGCTAATACGACTCGAAGTAGACAATCGATTCAATGCTACTGGACGGTGTGTTAAAGCGAATTCTGATTCCGTAGAAAGAAGCTCGTTAGACCTGGGTATGAAATAAAAAACCCGGTGAAGGAGTTGAAAAAAAACCCAACATGAAATGTAGTTTAGTGATTGATATTTTTAATAGTAACATAATTTCCAAACTTCAAGAATAATAGCAGTGATAAAACTTCCTTCCACCACAACCAGTCTCTGCACAATAAAAAAGGTTTACAACATGAATAATACCCACGCATCGGTCGTTAATCAAGTGAATATGTATTTAATGGGAATATTTGAAAAATTGTAGTTTACTAACGTGTGAGTGATTATCTATCATTAAATAAGATTTTTGGAACAAAACTCCTCGTGTATCGATTTCATGTGAATAAACAATTTTAACAGACTTTATGTTTCGATTAATCCTGTTCTTATAAAATGTCACAAGGTTGGAAATACGGAAGAAAATTAACAGTAGCTTATGGGACACATATCCAAGTCGGTCCAGATCCATTTATTCTTTATCTTCATCTGAATAATCAGTTTTTTTTATTCGCGTATTTAACTCTCTTACAAACCATGTTCACTACGATTATTATTCTTAACCGTGATTGGTGCTGGCATCAATTCGGCTATTCATCTAGTAAAAAATTGATTACTGTCAAGTGTAATATGGAGAATCGGACCAGTGCAAAACTGTAATAGATCCTGAATTGCATAACACTGACTTTTCTAAAACACAAACACTGAGCCAGAATGAACGAATCATTCGTCCTATGATTATTAGATACAACGATGAAACATGTGTATTTCACTAAGTTAATAATGATACCTAGACGCGACAAGTGAGTTTATTTGCTAGCGACAGTGGTTTTAAGTAATTCAGGTCCATCATAAAAGCAAAGGAAAAAACGTCACAACTCACAGAGACAGACTACGGCGTAAGGAAATAATGACACCATTGATTTTCTCAACAACTGGTGACAAACAAAGCAAATCAATATTTAATTCCGAATGCAAGCATCCATATTCTCCAAACATAACTAGTAGATACTGCAAACATTGAAGAAGAATACAACCGCGATTCGGGTCCCAATTATGTAATGATTTTTGGGCGACATTATTCGATTCCGATAACGAGGAAGATATCTCAACAATGTGCTCAACCTACGACGTTAACATGAAATATTATGTGAAATTTAATTTAAGTGGAAAGCGAATATTGACGCAATAATTGTGTTGTTCATTCAGTCAGTCAGCTACAACGTAGGACCAGGCACATATGTGCATCGGTCAAGGTTGCCATACCGCATCAGCACAACAAGATGTTGCTCATTATTCTAAATCATTTAGTGACAGTTTAAAATCATTATTTTGCATCATTGGCAGAATTCCCAATTAGAATTTGTTGACGTTACATGCTTGTTAATAACATAATTCTGGTCATTTCTAATGAGGGAAGATTCTAGAAAAGAAATAACGGTTATGTATTTCTTATAAATACTACTGCACTTAATTAGAACTTCGTTCTTCAAAAGAGGAATGTGATTTCTTTACCAGTTAACAAAGTAATCCAAATTACTAAAGTAATAAACTGTACAAACAAATTTATTAATTTTTAAAAAACTTCAAACTTTCTGATGATGTCTAACTAATTATCCAGTTGGTGATAGTTTTGTCAGCATCTGCAAAACATTAACTGAGATAAAATTATACATATGGAAATGGAAAACAATATTGTGATTAAACAGTAACATTACAGCATTAAAGTTCCATTCTCTAACACATATTCTCCTTGAAAGCAAAAGAAACATACACCTGTACAAATATCGAAAACACCTGTTCTCGGCCGATTGCCGGAGATAAGCAATGTTGAGCCCGATCGGTACTTGCATGGGTGGCAGGTCGCGAATATCAGGTGAAATCCGTCTGTAGCTCTTGTGCGGTTGATGCCACTCCCAAACCCGAGTAAAGGAGAAGGGTCTTGCATAGGGTTATCAACTCCATCTCGTAGAAAACAACACTCAAACCAGAAGAAACTTCAGACTATCATGGGAGTTGAAGAATCTCCATTTAGAAGAATTACGACCCCTCAAAGTGAAAGTCAAGATTATTCGGAATTCACGGGGCCGATGCTCCTTCTGACAACCTATTGTGGACCGCGGGTGGCTACTCTAACTTCTACCGACTGACCAACTTCAGATATTCCAGTACGACCCCAATACTGTTCCCAAACTCCAATATATCAGAACACGAACCGTAGATGAAAATCGTTTATGGGGTCAGGAGAAGAATAAGAATTTACAGACAAATGCATATTTAAACAGTTAGGACCACCATAAATATTGTCCAACAGGAAAATAACACGTGAAATAAATATTGACCAATAGGAAAATGACACCATTTCACGTTCAAGGATAGTAATAGACTTAACAGGATAATTTTTGGGATATTTTCCTGAATATCCCAACACCTCCCTTTGGAAAAGTTAATAGCGACGTAACCGAGGGTTTACGTGAAAATTCTTTGGGTGTCTTCGTTTGCGATCTGAACTCTGAGGCAACCACCCAAAACCAGAAGGATGTCCTACTTGAGTAGATAAATTAGTTGTCTCTGTCGGAAGTTGAAAAGTGTCCAACAACAAGTCGAATGAAACGCGTTTTGTAATTGCTTCTTTCTCCGTAGTTTCCCTTGGCCTTAGTTGATTGTGGTGCCTGGTCCAGATTTCTTGGTTCACTTTGACATCATACATGACGTCCCCATGTTTCTTTGTGACTTTACCCTCTACCCATCTATCACATCCATGTCTATAATCCCGCGCATACACTTTTGTACCAACTTTGTAGGGAATTCGAGTATTCTTCATCTGGGGTCTTTGCTGGGCCACTTGCTTGGGTGTCATCGCACCATGGACTGTCCGTAGCTTTGGCCCCATAAGCATATCAGCAGGGGATTCGGAGTTTGGCAATAAGTCATGCGGGGTCGTCCGGTACACAACTAGGAATCGTTCTATGATATCTTCTGTGGTTCCCTCCCCTCGTGCTTTAAGCATGGCTCGTTTAAACGTATTAACGAACCTTTCAGTCTGTCCATTAGATTGCGGGTGATATGGCGGAGAACGGACATGGTTGATCGAGTTTTGCAGGCGAAATTCTCTGAAATGGATAGATGTGAACTGTTAACCATTGTCTGTTACTATTGTTTCTGGAAGACCATGCTGAGCGAAAATCTGATTAAAACGTTTGATGGTTCAAGTTGTAGAGTGTGGCGCAATTGGCAATATCTCCGGCCATTAGGAGTAGAAGTAAACCAGTATCAGTTATGTGGTACCATCTAGGGGTCCGTTGAAGTCAATATGCACTCGCGATCAGGGTTTTTCTGACTTTGGCCAGGGTACTGGAGGCAACTAAGGGGGTTTATTCGCAGCTTTTTGACGAAGTCCACGAACTGCTTGTCCATGTTCGGCCAATATGCATAGCTTCGAGCGATGGATTTCATATGGTTTATCCCTAGGTGTCCAGAGTGAAATTGGCGTAAGACCTTAGAACGTAGGGTTGTTGGAATTACTACGCGATCACCGAACATCAGACAATTGTAAACAACAACAGAGGGCGCTGCGACGATTCGCTAGTTGTTGCATATCACCACTCAGTTGCTTAACTGGCCATCTGCTCTGAACATAGGTGATCGCTTCTTGTATAATTAGGTCTTCTCTGGTAGCTTTCCGAACATCTTCAGCGGTAAAAGGCATTGCTCGAACGGTATTCGCTAATAGTATAGCACCGGAATCTTCTTCCGTTGATATTATGGCTATGAGTGTATCCTCATCAGTGGTAGAATGGTTACTAATAAGTCTGGACAGTGCATCTGATTGACCGAAATCTTCGGAACGTCGATACTGGATATCGAAGTCGTACCCCAATAACGCCAACGCCCAACGTTGAAGACAATTAGCAGAATGGGCAGGAATGTTTTTCTTTGATCCAAATATTGATAACCACGGCTTGTGGTCTGTGAGCAAGGTGAAACGGCGCCCATAAATGAATTTGTGGAATCGCCGGACAGCAAAAATCAAAGCTAACGCTTCCTTCTCGATCTGGCCGTAGTTTCCCAGCAGATGCTAGTGCCCTCGAAGCGTGCATCATCGCTTTCTCTGAACCGTCGGGGAAGACATGCGACAGTACGGCACCCAGTCCATGTTTTGAAGCATCAGCAGCAACCATAATGGGCACTTCCGGATCGTAATGGGTTGACAGTAGATTGGAAAATAACATGGCTTTAAGTTTTTAAAAGGCTGACTCACATTGCGTTGACCCATTCCAAGCAGCATTCTTTTCTAGCAGACGATTTAATGGATGTTGTACGTCATGCAGTGATGGAAGAAATGCTGAATAGTAGCTAATCATTCCCAGAAATGATCGCAGTGAGGAGACATCAGTGGGGGCAGGCATTTCTTGGATTGCCTAAGTATTTTGAGGATCAGGGAGTCGTCCGAAAGCATCAAAGATAAACGCCAGGTATTTAACGGAACGTAAGACGAACTGGTATTTTTCGGGGCAAAGGCGAAAACCATTATCCTGGAGGCGTTGTAGAACTAAGTGGATTCTGATATGCAGTTCATCAGCAGTTGAGCCGACAATGAGGACATCGTCAAGGTATGTAGCAACACCAGGAACATCTGCCAGCATAGTATCCATGATCTGCTGGAAGATTGCTGGAGCAGTTTTGATACCAAAGGGTAACCATGTATACTGAAAAAATCCTCGGTGACTGTTGATTGTCAACAACTCTCTCGATTCGAGAGCGACGGGAATTCGAAGGTAAGCAACGGCCAGATCCAGCTTAGCAAAGTAGGTACCACCATTTAAAATAGTAAATAAGTCATTTGGGATCGGCAGCGGATAGCGATGCTGCTGCAGAGCCATGTGGAAAAGTCTGAACAAATGCGTATGGAACCATTGGATTTTTTACAACCACAATTAGTGCAGCTCATGATGAATAAGAAATAGATACTAGATCACCCTCAGTTTCCAAACGCTGAAGTTCAGAGTCAACCAGAAGAAGAGATGCGTATGGGACTGGATGTTTTGTGCCAAAAACTGGCGTAGCTTCTGGCTGCAGTCTTAAAACAGCTTCCGTTGCGGAACAAAGTCCGAGACCAGGCTGAAAAAGTTCAATAAATCGTTCTTGAAGGTCTGAGGCATGCTGTTGTGTAGAGGCAGTAGTTTGTACTTGATTACAGATAGCGCTAATGGGAAGATCAGCGAGACCAAGTTCTTCGAACCAATCCAAACCTAGGAGGTTGAGCGTAGAATTCGTGACGTAGCACGTCCCATTGAATGTTGTACCTTTGAATGAAATGCGGCAATAGAGTTCACCATGAAGGTGGAGATGACCCCCACAGGCACTGACGGCTGTCTGAGAGGATAGTTTGATGGGAGGTTAAGCCAAGGTTCACCAAGTCTTTTTCGACAGAATAGTGATATCTGATGCAGTATCCAACTGCAAACGAAATGGCTGACCATTGATTGAGAGGGTCAGAAATTTGCGTCGAGTCGCGGCATGAGTGTGGAAGACTGCTGATAAACTCCTTGATGAGGTAATCGGCTTTTTGGGAAAACGACGCTGCATCTGTGCATTTCAACGGTTATTGGATCGGTTGGATTTGCAATAGCCGCTTTTGTGACCAACTTTTTGACAGCGATCGCACATATGCTGTTCGAATGGGCAAAACTTCATATAATGCCAGGCTCCACAGTGCCAACATGGCGAGAGGGGCTTCTTCTGAGTCAGTTTGGAGTGATTAGAGACAGAAACAGCACTGGCGTTCGAAGGACTCCAGGCTGTCGATCTCGAAGACGTTTTTGGTGCTGAACAGCATGAACTTCGGAACCACCCTGGCCTCCAGATTGAACCAAAGTGGTGTCACGCTGCAGATTGGTGACGCGTTGGTACTTGTCTATGATCGGATTGAGTGTCACTGTTGGGTCTTGTTCAAGGCGGTTAAGCAACCGAGTTCTGATGTCGGAGAATTTGGGTGACTGAAGACTGCATATGAGTACTAGGGACTTGAATTGGTCTTCAGTGAGGGATCTGAGCTTGAATCGTTCGCACTCACGGTTAACAACGCCGACGTGGGTCAGGAAGTCATCGGACTCATTCATGACCAGTTTTAAGCAGCGATATCGAGTATTGAAAAGTGAATGATGATCACCAAAAAGTTGGCTAAGAGACTGAATAGTGGCGTCGAAGGAACGGTCGCGTGGGTTCTGCGGTAGAATGAAGTTGGAATACCTGTCCAGCTCGGATGGACCAGGTTTTCGAAGGAGAACACGTACCTTCCACGAATCACCTCTGTCAGGAAAGTCAACTTTGAAAAGGTCTTCATAACGCCTGAACCAAGTATCAAATGTAATATTGGCGTCAGGATCATAAAGAAATTCTGAAATACTACTGGTAATACCGTCAACTGATTGAGGGATTGTCAGTGTAATTGAGACTCGAGAAGATATGTGCGCCTGAGTAATCATCTCCATCAGCTTCAGCTGTTGTTCAAACAATTTTTCTAATTTGGCTGGATCCAGAGTTAGTCACCAACTGGAAAGGGATCAAGAAAGCGCTCGCTTCAACGTGTTAGGCGGTGCTAGGCCTCAAGAAGCTTCATCATAAGGAATGAATCTCTATCGAAATCAAGGTCAGGATGCAAGAAAGGAAGAACAAGGGCACACAATTGACAACTGTTGAACTGACGTAGAGGAAGCCAAGGGAAGACCGAATACACAGAAGCAAACAAGCGAGTAAAGATGAGCACTAGAGCCGACAAGTAAAAATACGTAGAAGATCTGGCAACGACAAAGTTCAAAGCTGAAAGAGAAGGGAATGAGACAACTATGTGACACAACGAAGAAACTAGTCGGGAAAATTGAAAACCAGAGCAACCAGTCAGGAGCAAACAAGGAAAGTCAATCACTGAGATACAACGACAGCAGGACAAGTGGGCAGAACACTTTGAAGAATTCTTGAATGGATCAGCCCTACCGAACTCACCGTACATTGGAATAGCACACACAGACCGTCCTATAGATGTCGCCCCACGGACAATCGAATACATCAGTATGACCGTTAGACAAATCAAGAGTGGGAAAGCAGCAGGACCTGACATATACTAGCTGAAGCACTTAAGTCAAATATAGAAGTAACCGAAAAGATACCACAGATTCTATTCAGGAAAATTTAGAAAACTTGAGGGAGATTTGGGAGAGATGAAAAGTTTTACGTACCTATGGAGGATCATCGATAAACAAGAAGGATCTGATGTAAACGTAAAGAAGAGAATCGGCAAAGCAAAAACAGTGTTCCTACAGTCCAAGAACATATGAAACTCAAAACGACTGTCAGCAAACACCAGAGTCAGTATTTTCAATACGAACATCAAGACACTCCTACTGTACGGAGCTGCAACTTGAAGGACTACCACAACCACCATCAAAAAAGTACAAGTATTTCTAGACAATTTTCTGCGAAAGACACTAAATGTCTGTTGTCCGGACACCGTCAGCAACAGGCTACTGTGGGAGAGGACAAACCAGCTTCCAGTTGAAGAGGAAATTAGGAAATAATGTTGGAAGTGAGTAGGGCATACATTGTTGAAATCACCAAACTGCATCACGAGGAAAACGCTTACTTGGAATTGTAATGGGAAACGGAAAAGAAGAAGGTCAAAGAATGCACTGCGCCGATAATTAACAGTAGACATGAAAAGGGTGAATAGCAGCTGGAAAGGATTGCCCAGGACAGGTTTGGATAGAGAGAGTTAGTAGGCAGCCTATGGTCCTCCTTGATGAATATATATATATATATATATATATATATATATATATATATATATATATATATATATATATATATATATATATATATATATATATATATATATATATACCATATTAACGGAAATATTTCTAACTTACCAGGGACAATAAACTTATTTTATTACAATCCATGTTGCCTATGCTCACTGATAATGTATCCAAAGCTTCTTCAATTAAATTAGCCCATATGAAAAAGTAGTAAGAAATACTTGGCTTAGTCAGTGACAACAGTGGGATTTTCAAGCTGTTTGGAAAATAAGACGAGAAGAGTAAGAAAAAGTGAAAAATGTCGGGAAGTTACTGAAAAGTGGTTTTCATTTACTAGCTATCGTACTAGTTGTAACTTTCAAGAATGAAAAATGCTGTAATTTTTAAAATCTACGGTGTAATAAAGGGCAAACTTATTGACCTATAGCGCGCGAAAGTTCCTACAATTTACAATAAAGTGAACCATTTCAAAAATCGAATTTTAGGAAAATGAAGCTGTGGGTAATCAACCTTTACAGTAAATGTCATAACCAGACATTAGAGGGTAAATATACTCATTGAATTTTCGAAGACATCTAATTGGATGATTAGTATCTTTGATAAAGCAAATATCCAGTCGTTATCATCACTGACACCTTTAAAAATATAACGATTAAACATCCAAAAACCAAAGTCGAATACAAGTACTTCGATTAAATTATTTGGCAGTATTTCTTTTCTTTTCCAAAAATATTTAACTATCATGAACATAAATACGGTAAATCAGTCAGTCAGTCAGTAACAACGTAGAACTTCGTACGTACGTACATCAGTTCGAGTTGCCATAACACATTAGCACAGAGATGCAGTTGTCGATTCAAATCCCGTAGTAGTAGAGGTAGTAAGAGTATAAGCAGTAATCGGAAAGATTAGAGTTTGGAGATGTTCTTTAAAGAGTGAAATAAATTTAGGAAGAGAAAAAAGAGACAAGGAGGAATCAGGAGATTAGAATTTGGGAGAACACAAAGAGTGTATGCACCTGCGCCATTGCAAACGATTTTGAGCCATGTCATTCAGGGTCTCTAACCATCGGTTGCTATCATCTCGCGGTCCCCAACCAGGTAGTCTACACCTACCAACATGGCTCAGTCCACTTGTCAGTGACTTCATGGACTTGAGCCATGTTTTGGTCTGGCCGCCCCTAGCTTTCTTCCAACTTCCTCCTATACTACTGAACATCGCATGTCGAGGCAGTCGGTCGTTGGGCATACGTAACACGTGTCCCAGCCATCTCAGTCGATGAAGATTCACAACCTCATCAACCGATTTACCATCGTTCCCTAATGCCCTGCGTCTAACCTCACTATTACTTACCAGGTGATCCCAGCAGACGCCAGCAATACTTCTAAGGCATCTGTGGTCAAATACTAGTAGCTTGTGAGTGTCTTCTACTCTTAATGGCCATGTTTCGCTGCCGTAAATTAAAACAGAATGAACTGCCGAACTTCCAGCAGTAGGCCTACGATGAAATCGAACAGAAATGGAGATGGTGAACAGCTTGCCAGACACCATTTGAAGTTGCAAAATCGCATGACATTTCGCCATAAGCTCTCACTCTACCAGTTGTGTTCGTGTAGAGAGCCTTTTTAAGGTTAATGTGCTTCTTTGTTACTCCTTTCAATGACAAACACTGCAATAGAACCTCACGATCAACAGAGTCTAATGCTGCTTTAAGGTCGAGAAATACTACGATTATGGGGCGCCTGAACGTGTGTCTGTGTTCTAGAACCTGAAGTAGTGTGAATATCTGGTCTATACAACCACGTCCAGGTCGAAAACCAGCCTGATTTTCTCTAGTCTGCTCTTCATGAGCTTTAGTTAAGCGTCGAAGTATTATTGAAGCTAATATTTTAGACACTATATTAGTCAAACTGATTCCTCTGTGATTGTCACAAGAGGACTTTTGTCCTTTCTTAAAAACTGGCACAATCAGTGATTGAGACCAGTCAGATGAGATTACGTCCAGTTCCCAAATTCTACCTAAGACCTCGGTTAATCTCACTGCTAATACTGGACCACCATCATTAAAAATCTCAGAAGTAAACCTGTCATGGCCTCCTAATCTCCCTCGCTTCAGATTTCCGATAGATTTTTCTACTTCGTAAAGAGTCGGAGGACCTAAATTAACTTGCCATTCAGGTTGACTGGAGATCGTGGGAAACCGAAGTGTGGCTGAAGGCCAGTTGAACTGATCCCTAAAGTGTTCTGCCAATCGATCCAATCTCCTGGATTGACAATGTATAATATGTCCATCTTTCTCTGAGATTGTTTCGCCCACAGTCGGGTTCCTAATACCGGTTTTCTTAACGAGTCTGAACAATTGTCTGCTATTACCTATTGCCGCTGCCTTTTCCATCTCTCTTGCTTTCGCTACCCACCACTGTCCGCGATGGTTGCGTAGACTTCTTATCAGCTTGCGCTTAAGCTGACTCAGCTCTTCGTTACGTTCAGGTACAGATGAAATGAGTTTTCGAGCATCTATCAGTGCGGTAGATGCTGCTGAGACCCAGTGTTACTCCCTAACCTTACGGTTTACCGTACTAGCAGATATCACTGCTGTTTCCACAACTTTTTGGATATCATTCCACTCTGCCTCGGGGTAGGCATCACATACATGGCTGCCTAACTGTTTTCCTAGTTGTTCCTGATATATACACTTAACTTGACTATCATTAAGTAGGGCCCTAAGAGGTTTCCTTGTAGCATCTTTCTTACGTAAAGTAAGATGCAGGCAAATACGCGCTCGCACTAGAGCATGAACTGAATCTAAGCATGTGCTCCAGAATGAGCGACAGTCTTATATCGAGCCCATCCGTCGGTGGCTGATAGCGATGTGATCTATTTGGGTCCGACGTTGGGACGAATTAGGGGTCGCCATGTCAAAAGATGTTTTTCCTTATGCTTAAAGTTAGTATTTGCAAGAAAGAGGCGGTTATCCGTGCATAGCTGCAACAGACGGTCGCCATTATCTGTTTTTTGAGCCACGACACCATAAGATCCACCTAGGTGTCTTTCCCTTTCGCTCAGTTTACCTACTTGAGCATTAAAGTCACCGGCCACTATTACTACATCGGAGCGCCTAGCTTTTCGGAGAATGTCCGAAAGCTTTCTGTAAAACTCATCTTTTACATCATCTGAGCTGCAGTCAGTGGGAGAATAGGCAGAGACGACGAAGAGGCAAAGACGAGTGTCCCTATTTTTCCGAGTCCTTATTGTTCCGTTTAGTCGGACAGCGCACAAACGGCTGTCTACTGGGATCCAGTCTAAGAGATCTAGTTCTGCCCTAGGACTCAACGCTATACCTAGGCCGGCGAGTCCATGAGAAGCAGCATCTGGGCTTCCAGATACACGAAGTGCGAATCGAGTTGGTTCTTTGTTTAGACATGGTGATGTCAACTGAATGACGCTACTCAGATCCTGTATGCGCATTCCGGAGACGCAGCACATAAAGATGGTGCGACATTCTAAAGTCCTAGCTAAGGAAGCCTGTTGTCCTATTTGGCACAGTGTTCGCACGTTAAAAGCTCCTACGTGTAGTTTAGAGCGTGGTTTCAGGAGACCAGGAATAACGTTCCGCGTACTCGAATCGTTTGCCCTAGCGGTGCGAGGTCGAAAAAGAACTCGGGGAGATAAGAGTGGTATTAGGAGGTGTAGGAAGGATCTGAATGTGACCAACTTGGTCTTGTGTGCTGTTACGGGTGATACAGTAAATCACTTAATATTTGTATTCAACTGAAGTGTACATTGAACATTTGACTGAATGACAAATAACAATTGATTTTATAACACTAAAGCAGGATTTTCAAAGCGAGGATATTCGTAGCATTACTATTATTGACCACTTTATTCATCACCATTTGTTCAGTAAAGTAGGAAGTATTCAGCAAAATATTTCAAAATGTTTCTCCTTTTTTTTACTTAAATTGCAGATATCTACATATTAAAATTTTTTAAAGAATTTACAAGCATGATCAATAGGTGTGCAACTTAAATGATGACTTCGGGATAGTTTTGACCTTTTAACTTTTATATCACATCATATATCCGCTAAATAAGGTCACTTTAAAGGTAATAGCGTTTTTATTTTTTATACAAGTAGTAAGTTTACAATACTAAGGGAAATAACGACAGGTCAAGGTTTGTTGGGGTCACTAATCCGATGATCACTCCTTATATAGATTACATTTGTATTGGACATTAAACATGAAAATACACTACTTACGTTGTACACAGCTCCTCAGTGTCGGATGACGATAATCTCCGAAGAAGTGAACAAAACATAACGAAATTTCTAAATGAAAATATTGGAAAACATACACTGAAGATTAAACCTTAAGACAAAATTGAATTGATATCTCTCACTTAAGTTCGTAGACGTAAAGATGATAAAATCAACCAGAATTAATCGCCTAAAAATTCTCAATCTGGACCAAAAAATACACTTCAGCATAATCCCACTAAAGACTTGTGATGAAAATAATGGACTCTACTCAATAGTTTTACCTAGTTGCTAGGCTTTCACTGTATCCTCATAATATTCTAATAGATCTAGTGGAAATAATCTGGAAAGGATTTCAAAATCTAGAAATGAAGTGCAGTATCAAAATTCCATTTTAGGTATTAAAACAACATTCACAGCTTTAATCAAAAATTAACTTACTGTCTGGCCTCACACGCTGGTTTTACCTTATTGTACCAACATCTGAAACTTCATGTTAAGAAGAAATAAAAAAACGACAACTAAACACTAAGTTATTATATCACAAATATATACAAAGTATCAACATAATATGGTGTTATTTATTCTTTAAAATAAATTAGATTAGTTAATCTATCATATTTGAATCAGTGGGTATCGGAATGTGTAAACACGTATTTCATTGGTAAAATGTTGGCAAAAGAAGTCGCTAGCCCTGTTTAACTTATCATTGATGAGTAATATATCTAGGTTTTTTATTAAGCAAACTGCTCCATGAAAGATCACAGCACACGTGCTTAGTATCCAATTGAAACGTAAGCGAAACTTTCATGGAATAGAAGATCCTACAGTTAAATGGTTGGCCGAAATTCTACAGCTAGTCGGAATTCATTTCAATAGGTACAATACAATATATTCATTTGTTATTTATTAGTTTAGTCGATGTCAATGTAACCGGAAATTGAGTGATACCCTAAGTTGCTCCTTCAGTTTTTACAAATGTGTTTCATACTACAATAGTTTGGTTCTAATGTGATTAACTTGAAAACAAAGGACTCCGTATTGATGTTCCTAAGGATTGCTTGAAGGAATTACTTTTACAATGTATCTTTAATGTCCAGTTTAAATTACAAAATAAAGTCAACAACAAAAACTAATGGTGTACTAATGGAATAATCTTTGGGTCTACCTTCTAGTTAACCGTTTAATGACCAATCTGGAAAAATGGGAAAGCATTAGGACTTAGTAGTATATAAGCTAAACCACTAAATTCAGATATAGAGACAACTGCAAAGGTGTTACACAATATAGCCAAGAAAAATTTGAAAGAAATAACAAGTATTATTTGAATGGAAAACAGGGATACCTCGTCAACATATTAATTATTATTTATTCTAACACAGATATTGGCACAAGGAGGCACCAAATATATATGCGCCACACAGATCTCATTTGATATGTATGAGGGCTGGGATACTACCCGGGTGCCAAAACCGAAGCAGGTGTTTTTCTTAGGAGGCCACACCCAGAGCCTTCGACCTGAAGGTATGATCCACAAGGCAGTGGAGCAACGTAAGGAGATGAATTCCGATAGAAGCCGATGACCAACGGTTGGTTCATACGCCCTTTGTTCCCTCAGGATACTGGAGCCCATGTGCACCATTGGTTTGGAATCAGGGTTTCTCAACCCCCCTAGGTGGACTCTCTATGTCCACCAACCCGGTTAAAGCACCGGACATTCGCTTTTCGTCCTCTCAATTTCGTAAACAACACCTCCGTCAAGAGAAGGCAGTGAGTAGGACTTCCCTGGAAGAGGCTGTATACGCGTGGTCATGTGAGAGCATTTCGAGAGGGAGAGCGGACTCTCCCCACTCTTGGCCGTACCAGGGCATTTGGAGGCCGTCAAGATATTAACCAAAAAAGATTTTAGTGTAGGAACTACAGAAGCGTCACACTACTGTCAGTACAAGACATAGTTTTCAACAGTTTTACTGAAACAAATGAAAAATCCAAAAGACACACAAAAAGCAGGATTTTGTCAATACTGATCATATATCGATCAAATCGTGACACTGAGGATCATTTATACGAATATTCATCAATATTAGAACGAATAATTTGAAAAACATTGGGTGTCGAGTACAGAGAAGTCATTATATGGGGAAATTTTGATCTAAAACCAAATTCAATTTTATTTAATTAGTAGTAATGAAAAAATTGTATTGAAACAGCCTTATTTATACAGCCAATTAAAAATGATGGTGACATAAATATGAAGACTCTGGAGTTTGCTATGAAGCGAATTCACATGCTTACCTCATACTAGGTGTAAGTAAACCTGAAGATCTGTTTGAAGTATCAAATCCAGTGCTCTAAATAAAAATTTTGTGAAATAAAGAGATACACAGTAAGTTGTATAAGTTCAGTTTAAAGTAATACAAAAAAATATGGGTTTTAACATTCAGACTTATCACATAAACTTGACAGAAAGTAACCGTGAAAGTCGTAAAAATAAACTTACTAGCCAACTTTTGAAATACAACCATAAAGACCGCACTACTTCTAAATTTATCCCACATGTTTCAGATAAACGAAGTAAACTTGTAAGGCAAACGTGGACTTCGCTATTATTAGGAGTAGCCTCCTATAAAATAAACAGAAAAATCAGTTTTAGGTTCGTTATACTGTATATCTGTGATTTATCTGGTATTATGAACAGTGAGCAGGATCCTTTATGATGTAATGAAGATGTAATTATTTAGAAGTGATAATAAAATCGGTTTCGATTAAACCACGTTTTTTCGTGACGCCAATCTCGAAATATATGCTTATGGACTAGTCAAACTCTCCTGTTCCCTAATCAGAGGGGGAAAGAGGTGAGCAGTAGAAACCCAGTGGTTAATGGTCAAGCACTAACCAGTAAGCTACCGTTTTACGCATTAACACAGCTCAAATAAAAAGAAATTAGTTTTCTCTTATAGAAAAAATGATCTATCTACAATCATATCTATAAAAGCGACCCGGAAATTTCGATGACAACTAGAATGAAAGCAAATAATTCCTTTAGAATCTAAAGTAGAGGGTACAGTCAGATTTCTGGTAGGAAGTAAGTATAGCAAACTGCAGAGGCACAAGAAGAATTAAACACGCATTTTGGATTCAAATGCAAGTCCCTAACCAAACTATAATCAACAAATGTATGACGTGTCGAGAGAAACGAAGTGATTTTGACTGGATAATTAAGCTGAATAACGCTGAACCCAATCACAAGAAAGTAAACAGAAAAATCTATTTGAACTAAATATTAACCTTAAGATACAAGGGTCCTAGCAGTCCGGTTTTTAACCTTTAATAACCAAATTTTGCAATCACAAATAAATGTCAGTCGATTTTTATCATCTTGAATACCCAGTCCTCTACAATTGAGCAACTCGTATCTTGGTTAGAATTTATTACTTCGGGAAAGTCTTTGATTCTAATTAAGTGAGTTTAAATTCTTATTTCATGTATTTCGGGTTTAACTACTACTAAATTATTTTCTTATCAGTTTCTTGATTGAAATTACATAGTATTTTCATTATCACCATCAAAAAACTCCTTCTTATACAAAGCCTTTCCATTAAGGATCAGACTTTATTGGTAAAGGTAGTGCGTTCCGCCTTACTCGTACAATATCATTACAATTTCGGAGAAAATTTTCAATTAACTGTGCAACTTCCTGTTTACGCTAACCATTGTTAAACTTCTGAATGAATTAATGCACGCAATGTAATCAGCTTAACTACGTTTTCAACCATTTATCACATATCAAAGTAAAATATTTAGTTGAAATGTCACATTGAATCACATTTCGAAGCAAAATTTCAAAAATATGTCTGAACGTACTCCTAAGAACTGTTGGCGAATCAACCAGACCACAACGGAATACTTCTGTAATGTCCCCAACCCAACCTTGGCATAAAAATGGAAAGGTATTAGAATGATCGTTATTTGGTTTGATTAATACAAAATATTTCAATCACAAATAATTAGTGAGTTTGAAGCTCTTTGAACATCATAGGAAATCTTTAACAACAAAAACAAGTACACACACTACCAATATGAATAGTAGAACTTCTAATGCCCCGAGAAACTTTATATCGGAACATGATGCGAAAGAAACATGGTAAATAATATGACACTTAGTCCAACACCCTCAACGTAAGTAAATTATATATCTTAGTTTCATTTCTTGACAAAATTTGGAGAGATATGAGCTCTGAAATTCTAAATTATTTTTAATTATTTATTTCAACACATAAATATTGGTACAAGAGGGCACCAAATATATATGCGCCACACCATATTTGTGTGTGTGTGGGCTGTGATACTGCACGGGTGCCCAGACCGAAACAGGTAGTTTTCTTAGGGGACCACACCCCGAGCCTTTGACCTAAAGGTCTGACCCACAAGGCACTGGAGCATCGTGAGGAGATGCATTCCTATGGTAGCCGGTGACCGACGATTGGTTCATACGCCATTTGTTCTCATAGGGTACTGGAGCCCATATGCACCATTGGTTTAGGATCCGCTTAAAGCGCCGGACATTCGTTTTTCGTCCTCTCATTTTCGTAAACAACACCCCCGCTACAAGAAGGCAGTGAGTAGGACTTTCCTGGCAGAGGCTGTATATGCGTCACAATTGATTGATCACTGGGTGGTGATCAATGTCATGCTTGTCTAGTACTTATTAGTGCAGATCGAATGCTATCGATCATGTTGCAATGTAGCCAACAGTCTAGGTGATTCGACACTATGGGCACCATGTATTGAAATTTAAGGTGGTTGGAGGTAGTCAACAGGAAACGCTGGACCCGGGTTTCGTGCTACTTGGCACTCGTCAGCAAGGTTTACCTGTAATTTTGAGGGAACTGGTGCTCCCTGGCAGATTCGATCTCGCGTCACCCAGCTTCACAGTCAGAGAAGTTACCACTGAGCTATCCAAGCCGCGACTGACCTCCTGTAGGACTGAGATGTAATCACAATTGATTGATCACTGGGTGGTGATCAATGTCATGCTTGTCTAGTCCTGTATATGCGTGGCCGTGTGAGAGCATTTCGAGAGGGAGGGCGCGCCCACCCCGCTCTCGGCCACACCAGGGCATTTTGGGGCTCCGAAATTATAAATTGAATACTAGATCTCTTGACGTAACAATATCTTACTATAAATACATGTGCTGTGTACATTTCGTCGTGAAATAAATATGTAATGAAGAATTCTGCTAGATGGTTTGACCGAGCTTCTATATTATAACCTCTAAACATTGAGTCAGGAGTAATTGAATCTAGAAATTTAGAGGAAAGAAATAGCATTAACTTGGGAAAGATGTTTGCTTGTAAAATTAGTTCAAGATGTATGATTCACTAACACAACGCAACGTTTATCTTCTTATGTAAGTCAAAAAAAGAGGAATACACAATAATGCGGGAAACAGTACATGATTTTCTAAAAGAAGTTGAAATAACTAAAATAATCGACCAGTGGCATGTTAGCAAAAATAAAAGTGAATGAAGTACCTTAGATTGATTTGTATGGTCCGCATACAAACTTTGTAGGGGAGTAGTGTATGCAAGTACATTCCAATACAAAGACCACACAGTCATAGAAGATTGGTGGGAAATATCTAAACTTGAGGATTGAAAGTAGGACTTGAAATTAGGACGAATACACTCTAAAGTATTGAATTCTAGTAAAATTAAAATAAAAAAGGAATGAAATTATTACAGTGTAACCTCTGACTTACATAAGAAAATATTAGCAGTTAAATAATGTTAAGATCCTTTTTAGATAAAAAGGCATCAACCTGAACATGAAAATCAAAAGTTACACAGAAATAAATGCATACAGTTGAGAAAGACAAGTCTTAAATTCAGGTGATATTTCATCCATTTTGAACTCAACCACGAAAGCTCTAGACACTACTATTGGTTTTTTTAAATAAATAAACAAACATAAATACGCAGAAACAAAAAAATTAGAATTGCTGCTTTCAAAATTACAAATTTTATGGAATGTAGCTCCAAAACTTAGTGTTGTAAATAATCATGCAAACGCTTTACAAGGAGCTATTTATTGAGTTATAGGCTTCCTCAATTACATAGCCAACTTAATTAAATACAACTGTAATGTAAACTGTTTACAGAAGTTTGAAACAGGGACATAAACCGTATGAATGTTTGGTGCTGGGTGCAGATTTATCACAGTAGAGAGGAACAATCTCAAAAAGTGTGAATACTTTTAACGTGACTACAAGAAATCAGTAATACGGTTTACCAACAACTTCAAACTTATTTTAGCGCTGGATTTATGCTAAGGTTAAATTGAGTACTAAATAGACATGCAGCAGACTTAATAAGTGCTAAATGTCAACCATGGATTTGTAAAAGCTAATAAAACATACCAGGAAATTCTGCTCTTTGTTGAGCATTCAATTTGATCATTTTCCCATGGAAGAATTTGAACCAGTTTTTCTGAGTCTAAAAGATGTGAAAAGTCAAATGTATGGCTGGAGGAATAAACAGTGTAAAAACTTAATATATTCACGATAAAATTACTAAGCCATATTATATATTTCAAGGAAAACAAAGGTAGGAAGGTATTAGTAAATCTAGTCTCGGTATTCAAACATGCCTCCAACGCTCGCACACCACTGCTGATCGGAAAACAGACAAGGTTCGCTATATCTTAAGGAAGTCTTAACATCGGTATTTGTTGTCTATCCGAGACCCGTATTCAGGACTTCTGTGAAATACTACAAAGTTGCTCTCCATCTGTTGCTTCGTAAAGCTTGTCTCATTTTCGTTTATCCGGGGACCGTATAGCATCTTCGTCTAGTTCTTGTCTCACTAAACGCCAGAACTGAGGCAGCACTAATCGATTGGATTTGCATCAACAGTCAGTCATGTGCTGTTAGAAAGCTCCATCAAAATGAGTATTCGGTATAAGGAACGATGTCTTTTCTTCATCGCCTACGCATCGACAAGCTGCATCCCGGATGCGATCAAGGATGAGTTTGACCACCAGATAATTGTTCTTCTACAAAACGTGCGTTCGACAAGTATTGCAGTACTAGCCGTATACTTGAATGCACAGGTCAAGGGTCTAGGTACACAGAAAATTCGTTCGGGTGGCCGATGAAGACCTGTCGGTCGCAGGCCAGGTAACGGTGACCGTCTACTGCAACTTGGTGCAGACTACAACCTGTTCCAAGGCTAGCTATTAATCTACTGTTATAATTTCTCTTATTACGACCCAGCTATTACTATTGCTTAGTATTCTTGGACGTTAATCCACTCGATAAGTCTCCAAACCAGCACACAGTTGAACAGGAACGAAATTATACTCTAAGTAACGATGGCAGATAGAAGTAAGAAGCACAATAAGAGATACGTTTGTATACTTATAGTTTTTACATGACAATATTCTAGAGTCTTCTCCAAGTATCGGTTAGTGCTGATTAGATAAGAAATAGCCAATCAGCGCTCACCAACACAATCGTGTACGGAAAGTGCGGCTTCGCAAAACGTCCCGCTCATAAGTGTTGGGTTTCTACAGACTCCTTACAACTCGTTGAAGCAGGTCGATCTACTCCGACCAACCGCGAGTTCAACGATAAATGAGGATTGTTACATAATAAAATTGTGAAAAGTTTGCGTAATGATCCAGAAGCCTATCAGTCGGAGTGAGCTGAGTTGGGAACATAAGCATCTTCTGGTAAATGCCGGAAGCTCTTCCACCTCATCCGAGTCACTGGCAATAAGAAATCTGGTGCAAATGAAACCATCTGTATCCGGGAATTAAAGTGTTCCAACAAAGTGAAAGGAGTCGATTATTATCCCTATCTTCAAAAAGAGTTCACGTCACCTATGCAACAATTATCGAGGGATAAGTCTACTTCCGATTGCTTCCAAATTATTGACTCACTTCACACTTCGCAGGTTGTTCAAAACACGGGAAAGATTGATTCGTTAGGGGCGAGTTGGTTTTTATTTTAGTTGAGGATGTATTGATCACATATATTTCCACCTTCCGCCAAATTTTAGGACGCCGTCATGCCTATTGCAGCGCAACGCGTCGTGACATCAGACCCACCGTCGGTCAGTTAGGACACGTTGCTGGAATTATCTGTTGAAGGAGAATCTGCCTGGCAAGTTTATTAACATATTGAAGGCCCTATATACAAACACCTCAGGCAGAGTGAGGGCCTACCATCACCTCTATCAATTGTTCCATCCAAGCAGTGAGGTTGGGCAGGGTTGCCGAGTCAAAACATTCCTCTTCAACTTAGCCATCGATAACGTTTTAGAAACAGCTCTGATACACGTAGGTAACGGTGGTTTTGATCTGTAACCTGGAGAAAGACTTTTCAACCCTTAGCATGCGGATGATATTGTCTTACTGCGCGATGATACTCAAGTCATACAATCCACACTCAATTAGTTGGCAACCAATATTCGTACGAATGGCGTGTGCTCTGCACCTTCTAGGCGCAAAGTACTTTTACGTCCTGATAAGGACGCTAAGCCTGCATTCTCTCTGGGTCGTGAGCAAGATGAAGGAAGTCTAGAAGTGTGTGTATCTGGGTAGCTACGTAAGTGCTGGTTGTGGTGTGAATGATGAGATGAATTCATGTATAGTAAAAGTCAGAGCAACTTATCACAACCTGGGCCATCTTTGGCGCTTTCGTGGTATTAGTCGTCTGACCGTAAATGGTTGGATCTGCAAAGCGTCGGTAAGAGCAGCTTTCTCTACGTTTGTGAAACCTGGCCTCTCCGAGTTCAGGATGTTAGACGACTCTGTGTTTGGTCAGCGTTGTCTCCGAAGGGTTGCCGACATCCAGTGGCTACACCATGTTAGCAATGCAGAGGTTCAGCATCGTGTGTTCGGGCACAACGACGATAATTCAATTAGCATCACTAATGTGAAACATCGACTTTAGTGACTCGAACATGTACAACGAATGACGTCACACAGAATTCCACGTCGTGAATTATTTGCTCATGATAGGACCGGTTGGAAAAAGCGTATAGTTGCTTAGTGTATGACATGGTGTCGTGTTATGGAAGAATGCTGTACATGACTGGCTTCTGATAGTCTTTTACGACTCACTGACTGAAGTCCTAGAGATGATACAACACAGTGGCTTGAGACGACATCAGACATGGCTCAGAATAGAAGCTAGTGGCAATCCTGCTGTAACTTTCTTTTACTTTCTTCATGAAATTTAACTTCTTTAACTGAAAGGATTTTTCTCATATTTTTCTTAACTAAACTGCTTCCTTCATTATTACTATTTCACACTCATACATTAGTTTCTGTTCATTATTGTTATATGGCGCATATGTATTTGGTGCTCCCTTGTAACAATCTTTGTGTGACAATAAATAAATGAAGTTTCACTTCTAATAATAAAGTCAAATTTCATAAGCACTGAGCAACAACCACGTCAGTATATATTAGAGCTGGAGGCGATTGCCATCATTAAGACCTACAACGCGATCAGTGTTTGAAGGTAGCTTTATAAGTCCTATAAAAATGACGAGATAGCGGTGGGGATTAGTCATCGAATGAGCTAAAACATGAAATTCAAGTTGCAACAGTTCATATCAGTAAAGTGAAAGGAAATCAACCAGGAGAAAATAGGAAATAGTAATGCCATAATAATGGAAAGCTTAATGTTAGAAAACACGCGAAATCAGAGAACGTGTTTTACATAATAATAATGGAAGAAAATACCGAATGCGTTCCCGCTACTGCGACTGATGTTTGTGCCATGCTATCTCTGATAACATACCAAGACTACAGTTTCTACAAATTTTACCAACATTCAGTGACTATCAGCTGAAACTATTAGTCTAAATGCTTTAAGACTTCTCAAACATATTCCTACTCTATTTAGCATATCACGTCACAGTGGGTGTTACCGACTTAGGTGCGTCAAGTGTCTTAAACCCCTTGGTTGGTGTTTACAACGCCACTAACGAAGTTATCATTGTTACGCACTGCAGGCCTAACATCGATATCAGTCACTAAGTGATTTCTTTTTAAGTGAGCAGTACTTGGAAGAAACCCAAAATAGAAAACGCGCAACCGCTACTTTGCAGATGATTAATTGAAAGATCATTGAATCAAAAATGATCTTATGTGAAGTTCTTGAGCACTAGTCTATTTTACAATCGGCTTTCACTTCCATTGACTTGATGTTAGCACTACAATCCTTTAATCAATGTCTCATAACACTTTAGGACTACAGACTACCGTAGATTCGAGCCAAATAGGACGCTATGAAGGACTATTTATCTGAATAGTAGCGACTGATCTACTCAGACAATCGCTTATTTTTAGCAAACACAAATTTTAAGCATAAGGAGAGACATCGTCTAACATGGCGACCCCCTACACCAAACCAACGATGGACTCAAATAGACCATATTGCCATCAGTCATCGTTGGAGAGGGTCGGTAGAAGACTGTCGCTCATTCTGGAGTACCTGCTTGGACTCCGACCACGCCCTAATACGGGCACGCATCTGCTTGCGCCTCACCGGACGCAAAAAAGCCACATTAAAAAGACCAATTAGAACTGAATTGAGTAACGAGAAAACCAAAAGTAAGTTCCAGGAACAACTGAGGTCACACTTAGGTAGTTCTGAAGACGAGGCTGACCCAGATGTTGCTTGGAAAGACATACAAGCAGCTGTGGAAACAGTAGTGACATCTATCAGTAATTTAAACCACAGGGTTACAAAGAACCAATGGGTTTTTTCAAGGTCTATTACACTGATGGGTTCTCGTAAGCTCATACCATCAGGTTCTGAACACGATGAAGAGTGTAAACAAATCAGATCTAGGTTAAGAAAAAGTCTAAGAAACGACCGTGAGCAGTGGTGGGCAACGAAAGCAAAAGAGATGGAAAAGGCAGCGACTATAGGGAACACAAGACAGCTTTACAGACTAATAAAACAAACTGGAATCAATAAATCAAGTGTAAGTGAGATTATATCGGAAAAAGACGATACACTCATCTGCTCCCAGTCCAGGCGTTTAGAACGATGGGCTGAACATTTCAGAGAACAGTTCAGCTGGCCTTCAGCTACTCTACAACTACCCTCAATTCCCAGACAGTGTGAATGGAACATTGAAGTAGGTCCCCCAACTCTTGCTGAAGTTCAAAAGGCTATAGATAATCTGAAACGAGGAAGGGCAGCTGGTCCAGATGGACTGGCTCCAGAAGTCTTTAAGGATGGTGGTCCAATTTTAGCGGTTAGGTTGACTAATATTTTAGCTAAGATCTGGGAGTTAGACGTTATTCCATCTGACTGGTCACAATCACTTATCGTCCCAATATATAAGAAAGGGTCAAAATCATCCTGTAACAACCACAGAGGGATTAGTTTAACTAATATAATATCTAAAATACTAGCCTCAATAATAATCAGACGCCTAACTAAAACTCGTGAACTGCAAACACGAGAAAATCAAGCTGCCTTCAGACCTGGTCGTGGCTGCATCGACCACATATTCACCATTCGTCAGGTTCTAGAACACAGGCATACTTATCGACATCCGACAATGGTGGTCTTTCTTGACTTAAAAGCAGCATTTGACTCGGTAGACCGCGAGATTCTGTGGCAGTGTCTGTCATTGAAAGGCGTACCTCAAAAGTACATAAACCTTGTGAGGGCTCTTTACTCGAAAACTACTAGTCGAGTGAGAGCTTATGGCGAACTGTCATCTAGTTTTGCAACCTCAAGTGGTGTCCGTCAAGGATGTCCACTCTCCCCATTTTTGTTTAACTTCATCATAGATCTACTGATGAAAATAACTTTCTCGTCGACTGAGTTCTCGGGTATTGATCTCCATCCAGGAGGTCCACTTATCGACTTAGAATACGCAGATGACATAGTCCTGTTTGGTAAAGACGCTGACAAAATGCAGAGTCTTCTGGTAGCACTGAGCAACAATGCCAGGATGTTTGGAATGCGCTTCTCTCCCTCGAAATGCACGTTGTTGCTTCAGGACTGGTCTGCGTTAACACCTGAACTAAGGATAGGGAGTGAAGTAGTCGAACGCGTTGACAACTTTACTTATCTTGGAAGTCTGATCAGCCCTAATGGGTTGGTATCGGACGAAATCTCAGAACGGATTCGAAAAGCTCGTTCGGCTTTTGCCAACTTACGTCACCTGTGGCGAAGGCGAGATATCCGTCTATCAATAAAAGGACGAGTATACTGCGCGGCAGTCCGTTCTGTTTTACTTTACGGTAGCGAAACATGGCCATTAAGAGTAGAAGACACTCGTAAGCTATTAGTATTTGACCACAGATGCCTTTGAAATATTGCTGGCGTCTGCTTGGATAACCGGGTAAGTAATAGTGAGGTTAGACGCAGGGTACTAGGAAGTGATGGTAAATCAGTTGATGAGGTTATGAATCTTCATCGACTGAGATGGTTGGGCCACGTGTTACGTATGCCTGAACACCGATTACCACGACGTGCAATGCTATCCGGTATTGGAAATGGTTGGAAGAAAGTTAGGGGCGGCCAAACCAAAACGTGGCATCAGTGCTTGAAGTCACCAACTTCTAGTCTGAGCCATGTTGGTAGATGCAGACTACTTGGTTGGGGTCCGCGTGACTATCGTAACCAATGGTTGGAGACTCTTGGTGACATGGCTCAGAATCGATCACAATGGCGTCGGTGTATACACTCCCTGTCTTCCCTTAAACTATGAGATTAAAATCGCTTCATATCTTTCTTTCTACGAACCAATTCTGTCTGCTTGTACTATATCTCTATATGCAATCTTTCTCTTATATATTACCACCTTTTACCTAACCACTGTTATGAATCTGGTGTTCATCTTGTTGTGTTGTTGCGGTATGGCAACCTGGACCGATGCACATATGTGCCTGGTCCTACGTTGTAGCTGACTGACTGATCTACTCCCACGTCGAATAAATTAACGAACTAGAAAATTTCACAACTCAGACTAGATTGTGAAGGGTAATCGGTTGCCAAGTGTTGAAAAATTGATTGTTGAGGGTTTTTTTTACTTAGACTTGTGAAAATTGACCCGACCGTTGCTGCTACCCTGACGTGGTGATCGGGCTTGCCCATCGTGATGAAGCAACCGAGGTATACTGGCTGGAACAACCGTTCCTCAAGGTCCTACCATGTTAGACAGGTCGGTTGAAGAGCGGTACGACTAAAAGCAACAAACCTAAGGTCCGAAGGCGAAGTCGTACTGCTGACTGTACAGAGGTGTGGCAGAAGTAAGGTGTTTCCTTCAAACAACCAGCATGACAGCGATGCTGCCTTCCCACAAGGAGGGGTGGGGTTATAAAAGGTCGACTCTAAAAATGCACACCTCGCCTTATCCCACGGATATCCGTCTCCGACGGTAAGGTCTCAACAAATACGGAGTTAACACAAAAATTACCCACAACAAGGTCGTGTGTGACCGACCCCAAGCAGTTGTCCCTTGGGCACTGCGGTCACGCTCTCAGGTCACTAAGACCACCTCTAATCCAATTTCCTTTTCAGGTACCTCCTGACTGTGAAAATTGATATATAGTATCTATCAAACATTTCCACATACCTTGCAAACTATACAACCGTAAAAGTTGGCGATTTGGATCTACCAGGCTAAATAGCTTAAACTGACTGTTAAAATAAATATGTCTCTCAGGTGTATTTGCCAACACGACTTTGTGCTTTACTCAGGCTGGGTAACAGAGATCAAAATTATCAATGACTGGGATGTAACTTAAACGTTTGTTCCTTTAAAGCAGACTGAGTCTCAAGTAATAATGACGTATCGAGACAATATGTAGTGCATACATAATCAAATAATACACATACAATTACGAACCATCAGTAAACTAATTTCCGTTGTCTTTTCACGGTACCACTAACCCTACGAAATTGCAGAAACTTGAAGTTGAATATCCAGATACTAGTGAAGGTTTCGTTGGTGAGTCACGTTAGCAATATTAAGTGACGTGAAATCAAACTAGTTTCTTCCTATAGTTTAACCGAGCATTTATACGCTGGAGGCTTTCACAGTTTCGGAAAAGAATCAATGTAAGCACAAAAAGTGAAGATTTTAGAAAACGTGAGATGTATAAAGTTGACGGCATTGTCAAAGACATTTCAAAAACGTAGTGTGATAAAAATGAGTGCATTACACTCAATTTAGACGCAAACACAAAATACAAAACTAAAATGCAGTATGAAACGGAAAACAAACATGCCTTTTCTACGAAATGGATTATGACGACCCATAAGAGTGCATCACACGAGCACCTTCGAATGTTAGTCTAAGCACTGTTAATATTTTACTGGGCATTTACCAATCCTGAATAAAGTATTAAATTTTCCAACACAATATCCAGAAAGTAACCGCACGCGTTTAAAGAACTCTGCGGTTTTAATCCAAGCGTCTCATTTACGAGTACCACATATTCTACGAATCGTTGTATTAGATAAATACAATAACCTGCTTTATTGCAAAGAAAATTGAAGATTTTCAGCACTGTCAACCATATTTCCAGGTGAGCATGAATAAGATTTTTGTTTTCCTATTTAGACGGTTAACAACAACAACAAAATACTTCTTTCACCAAACTCGCAAATGGTCCCAGGAAACCCAAAATTGAACGGATACAGCCAACTAATCGTACGACTGTACGCCTTTCAAACTCCGTTTTCCTGGAAAGCTATAAACGATAAGAAAATCTTACGTTAAGGAGGAATATAATGCGAAAAGAAGGAATGAAACATCGTTCCTAAGGACTAGAAAAGGGTAAGGTAGAAAAAGTCCCACCTGCAGAACCCCGCTGGAATTCAGAAGTGGATTTCTTCAGCAAGACTAATTTGTTTCTGCATTCAATATCAATTTTTATTTTTGATTGTCAAACCTCAGTAAGCATAAAATCTCTTGAGGATCAGCCCACTGAACAACGGTTGTTTTCGTTTCAATACGTCTGGCAACGATAAAACTGAAACTTCAAAACATACGACAAAAACTTGATTGGATCTACTGTGTCACAACATAACCCTAAAAACGGCACTGGTTGTTGCACATCATCTGAAATGCTCGGATGTACAAATTCATACTTACAATCGATTTCGGCCAACAGGTCTGCATCTAAATCTTCAGAAAATATAGCACCTGTCCCCTTAAACTCCGGTGAGTCCGGAGGTGTCCAAAGTGCTGGATCAGACATTCAACTAAGGCGACTGAGCATCGGTGTTACGAGACCGTGACCTTGTCCCTCTAGGTCACACTTTCAGAATCAAATGGTTCAAGTTGTTGTAGATGGAATGGAAGAGGCTTCCACTTAAGGCACTGATGAATCCAGTAACAATCGATCTCTGATGCCTCAGGGCAAGAATGTATGTATATTTTGAGCAGCGCTATTTAAAAAGAACAGTTGTATTTTTCCTCGCTGAGTAAATTTTATTATTTTGATCGTTTATTACGTATCAGTACTACTTTTTTCACCTAAATTGAATTAATTTCAGTAAACGTATTTTCTAGGGGTACCTTTTTTGCTTTCTTAGAGGTTTATCGTCGATACTCTGTAAAGTTTTGTTCAAATGTTTCAAATGGTTGTAGACAGAATAGAAGATTTCGCTTAACGGGCTTCCGTGTCTAGTAGCAGTGGATCATCGATATCTCGAGGCAGAAACCTAGGGATAATAACTATAATAGATTAGAGAAAAATGAAATTGGTAACTCATAATAAGAATTTATCCTGAGTTCTTAAGAATAGGTCAAGTTTCCTTTTAAAGGGCTCTCAGGAAGTCGCTTGGAATAGTTCAGTTGGCAGCGAATTCTAGCAATTGACAACTCTTAAGGAGTAGAAGTCGTGTCTACAGCCCGGTCTGCTATGTTTTATCCCTTAGTTCTGAATGTTACCCCTTAGGTTTGTATTAGGGCTAAGCTTAAGTAGGTCTTAAGCATACTGTAAGCCATCAGAAGGTCACCTCTAAGATGCATATACTCTAATGGGTAAAGGTTAGGTGATTGAAAGCTCTCTTCATAAGGTTTGACTTTGAGTCCCAGAACAAATTTCGTGGCTCGCGGTTGAATACGCTTTAGAGTGTGCTTATCCTTTTGAAGTGAAGGAGGAAATACTATGTTTCCGTACTCTAAATGAGGGCGAATAAAACTGTTGACGATTATGTGGTAAGTTCTTCCGTCAAACTGGCCAAAAATGCGCTTCAATGTTACCAGCGCAAGATTTGATCGAAAGACATTTTTGTCACAGTTAGCGTAAGACTTCAAATCATAGGGCACCACGACTCCTATTTTTTTCGACTCGAGATACTACTACAGAGGAGTTTCTTGAGTTGTAACTGTAGTCTGCGACATGTCGAAGATGGACTACTTTACACTTTGAAGTGTTGAAGGTAAGTCCTATTGTGTTCTATTGTGTTTTTTAGCACTTTTGGTTCTAATAATTTACAGTTCTTCACTTTTTGCTCATCAATTTCTTTTGTCTCTCGGTAATACTCTATTTAGTTTCCTTTCGAAAACCTGGTTGGTGGCTGGACAGTGCAAGAAAACCAATTGTAAACGCCTAGGTTGTCGATGCTCCGTTGGAACGACATGCAGCGAGACAAGTGCAATGAATGGTACTACGAAATTTGCACATATATAAGGCCTGCGGCCTTCAAATGATTTAGTAAAAGTGATTGCGTGTTTTTTGTCAGCAGGGCTGCTCGTACGCAGACAGCCTGGCATCCGAGACCATTTCAATGTTAAATGTTGCCAAACGAGGTCGAGACTCATCGAACAGTACGCGCTCTCTCGATATACAAATTGATGTAATGTCACTTCAAATTAGCTTATTAATAATTGACTTAAATTGGTCTAATGAGGAAAGATCGAATTTAGAGACGTTTATCCCAAATAAACACTCAAGGAAGAAAATCCTCACTGTCTCCTGTCCTTTAAATTACGGCCAGTAGAAAACCATTTAGAAAATCAGTCACGAAACTAGATCTGTTTCTGGCAGGAAAAACAACCTTTCATTTCAAGTCGTCGATAATCACGCGGAACCCCACAGTGTTTATGACATGACTGTGGTTGCTGCTGCAACGAAAGCTGATGATTGGGTAGAGGTCGAAAACAAGGAACGACATAACGCTATTAAAGAAAAGCCACCCCCCTTAACAAAAATCGGAGGCGAGAAATTGAAGACTAATAATAGTGACAGGTCAGTATTATTTCAAAGAATCAAGGAGAGTGAAAGCTCAGAACCTAAAACTTGTTTCCAGCCTGGCATTGAGTCTCGAAAAAACTTGGCTGAGACAGCCTTCAGATAGATGGGAACTTGATTTTAAGGTCTCACGTTAGTAAGAGCCGACAAATTCTATAAACGTAAAGGAGAGGGGGTAGCTCTATTCATTGGGAATACCATACCATTTATTATTGTACACAGTGTTTCCCATGAGAGCGAGACGTGCGAATTATTTAGTTGCTTCTTGAAATACAAAGGATGAGACCTGCTGATTGTTTTGGCCTAATGCAGTCCAAGCTGTGAGGTGAATGTGGTTTTGCTAGACAGTACAAGCAGTTATTCACAAAGTGGTCGATTTTCAATCCTAGGATACTCTAATCTTTGTTTTACATATGATCGTCAAAATCAAGCACGCATCAGCCGAACTCAGGCTTAACATCTAGAAAGCAAATATAGATGTTATACACTCAGAATCGTCAGTAGATTAGATAATAAAAGCAGAGCCTCAATTAACGCAGCTTGTGATGCATTATGAAGTTTGTGCTTAAAGGTTAGTGCACCCCACATCCCTCGGGGCCGAGAAACTTTCCACCATGGTTCAGTAGGGAGATTCGCACCCTTCTCCGTGAGAGGAAGAGAATTCGGGGAAGATTTAAGTTACTGGAAACTGACGAGACAAAATCTCAATATCGACAAGCTCGAAATACTCGTGCCTCGACCCTCCGTAAGTCCAAAAGATTGTACAAAGAGAGAGCTCTTAAGGGATTTATAGAATACCGTAAACGATTGTATTCATATACAAATCAAAGGACTAAAAGAAGAAGAAATATTCCGGAACGATGAGGAGACACTAATGCTTCATCATTAGTGAAGGACGGCCATGGTGAAGCTCAAGTATTTTCATACTACTTTAGCAATTCGTATACCGTAGAGACACCTCTCAAGTCAGTTCATAGAAATTGCATACACACACACTGAAAAATGCGACCATTGAAGAACTCAATGTCTTTGGTCTGCTAAATAAACTTGATTTAGGCAAATCCGTGGAACCCGAATTAATGCATCACTAAAGGGACCAGCCAATTTCGTTGCGAACCCCTTAAGTATATGTTTTAATCTATCCGTAACCCAGGGTTGTTTACTAAAAGACTGAAAGAACGCCATAGTATGTCCTGTATTCAAAACATAAAACTGAGAACTACTGACTCGTTAGGCTAACTAGAGTGGTTGCTGAAATTTTGGAAAAGACTACTCAGAAGGATCTGTTTAAATATCTCGATGAAAAAACGCGAAATTTGACTTTAGCAAAGCATTTGACAAAGTGCCGCACAAACGACTGTTGTATAAGTTAAGAAATGTCGTGTTTGAAAACAATCTTTTAATGTGGACAATAGACTTCCTAGCTGAGCGCCAATAAAGAGTACAGGTGAACTCCAAGTTGTCCAGCTGGGAAACTGTGTTTAGCGAAGTGCCTCAGGATACATTTTGGGGGCCAGTGTTATTCCTTCTGTGTGCGAATGATCTTTTTCGTCTGCTATAATCATCGATCTGGCGATATGCTGACGATGTCAAGATATGTAGAGCGATACGAAGTAAGAGTGATAGCTCAGAACTCCAAAATGACGTAGAGAAATTATCTGGATGGTCTTAAAACTGGCAGTTGCCGATCAATACTTCTAACTGTATTGTGATGAATATCTGTCATCAAGATACAGGTACATACACGATGAACCTGTTGTTCAGATACACAGTGACTTGGGAGTCATCGTTAGCCAAGACTTAATGACTACTACACACTACAGTGCAATAGAAATTTACGAACAATGCGTAAGGCCCTTAGCCATGTTGACGCTAGACCTTTTTTCACTTTGTATACAGTATTCGTGCGCCCTAAACCTTAGTGCTGGATGTAAGGGGCTAGTATATGTTTAAAAAGGCAGTGACCATTTGAAAGTGGTTCGGAGAGCAGCAGTCAAGCTGATTAACGGAATAACTAAGCTCCGATATGATGGTCGAATGACTTGCCTCTTTTAGAACACACTTCCGGTTGACGGCGTCTTCGTGTCCTGCAACGACTTTCTTTGTGAACATTTATAGAACACAGTACAACGATGAGTTTTAAACGGATGAAACCTTTTAAAATGCCAACCACCACATAACCAGCATAAGGATGATGGTTTGTCGCTATCATTGCGATCGTTCTGCGTGCTGGAACCTAGTGCGACTTTTCTCTCGACTGCATTAACGTAAGGGAACCGGGTACTGTTGTCTACCATACAGGTATCATGCTTTAAATTCACTAATCTTTGGTAATCGGTAGCTACTTCCTGCAGGGTCATTTTGGGACAGTGTTCGAGCTTGCTTAGGATTCTTGTTCGGATGTCAGCAACTTCGGGTGAACGCATGCTACGTACAAATACTAGGTATTTAAACTGGTTTTCAGTCATGGAAGACAATTTGAACCTCTCATACTCTCAGTTCACAACTCCTGCATGTTTCACTCAGTCTTCTCCTGGTTCGTTCATTATCTTCAAGCATTGGTAATGGATATTAAATAGAGATGACTGTGTAGTGACATTGGACCATAACCATACAATCCTCAAAGCTGAACACGAAATAGCTCGGAAAATAGCTATTCAATATTTAACGCAGAGAAATACCTAACGATGCAGAAGGCAGGAGAAATAAGTTGAATGAAATGGAGTTGATCGGATGGCATGACTCGATCTTGCAAGCGTGGTCTCTCTGAATGTTACTTTGTATCTTTTATTCATATTAAATATATTGTTCTTACTCTAGCCTAAGCTTGTTCTCCATCATGTATTGGTGATTGTTACGATACAGTGAGTTGGTGTAGACGATGATGTGACTTCCACGTAAGATCTTATAGATTAGGCAGTTATATCATGACAAATCTACAATTTTAGGATTAGGTCTATTATAAGCGCAGTACTTATATCATAGTAGACCATAATTCTACAACTTTTCTCCAAAGATTTGACACAGGGTTTCAAAACCAAATTCTCGTGTGTTCTTCGGGAGAATCA